TGACTGCCGGAGTGGTTGGATTCAAATGGGTTTTAGGTATGAAATCGAGGACGGATTGCAATGTATGTGCTAACGCTGCAATGCTATGTGCTTAGTATGCCCAGCACCAGCTTTCCCTCCTGGCTCTTCTGCTGTGGGAGCAGAGCTCAGACGTTCGTGCTTCACTCACTCTGCTGCTTGGCAGCAGAGAGCAAGCTCCTGAGAGGTGCGATTCAAGTGGACTTTTAGGAATGAAAGTGAGGAGCAACTGCAATGATGGTGACACCGTTGAAAAGCTCACTGTGTGGTGAAGATTCCCAGCAGCAGAAGTAACTCCTGGGTCTTTGGCAGTGGGAGCAGAGCACAGACGTTTGTGCTGTGCCCTCACTGTAGTGCCTGACAGAACAGAGTGACTGCCGGAGTGGTTGGATTCAAATGGGGTTTTAGGTATGATATCGAGGACAGATTGCAATGCATGTGCAAACACTGCAATGCTATGTGCTGAGTATGCCCAGCAGCAGCTTTCACTCCTGGCTCTTTGGCTGTGGGAACACAGGGCAAACATTCATGATGCAGTCACAGTGATGCCTGGTAGGCCAGAGTGACCACGGCAGTGGGTATATTCAAATGGAGTTTTAGGTATGAAATCGAGGAGACACTGCAATGGAAGTGCTAAAGCTGCAAAGCTGACTGTGTGATGAAGAGTCCCAGCAGCAGCTTTCCCTCCTGGCTCTTCGGCTGCAGGAGCAGAAGACAAACGTTCGTGCTTCAGTCACTCTGTTCCAGGCAGCACAGAGAGACCCCCGGAGAGCTTGGCTTCAAACGGGGTTTTAGGTATGAAATGGTGGAGAGACAGCAATGTCAGTGTCACAGCTGCAAAGTTGAATGTGTGAAGATTTCCAGCGCCAGCTTCGCCTCATGGCTCTTCGGCAGTGGAAGCAGAGGTGAAACCTTCGTGATTCACTCTGCTGCCTGGCAGCCCAGAGAGACCACCGGAGAGGTTGGATTCAAATGGACTTTTAGGTATGAAAGTGAGGAGCAACTGCAATGATGATGAAGACACCGTTGAAAATCTCAGTGTGTTGTGAAGGTTCCCAGCAGCAGCTTTAACTCCTGGCTCTTTGGATGTGGGAGCAGAGCTCAGACGTTCATGCAGTGCCCTCACTGTAGTGCCTGACAGAACAGAGTGAGCACCGGAGAGGTTGGATTCAAATGTACTTTTAGGTATGAAAGTGAGGAGCAACTGCAATGATGATGAAGACAGTGTTGAAAATCTCAGCGTGTTTGTGAAGATTCTCAACAGCAGCTTTAAATCCTGGCTCTTTGGCTGTGGGAGCAGAGCTTTATGTTTGGATGCTGACATGGTGTCCTGCTGCCAGATGAGAGTGACTGCCGGAGTGTTTGGATTCAGATGGGGTTTTAGGTATGATATCGAGGACAGATTGCAATGTGTGTGCTAACTTTGGAGTATCTTACCACTGTACATCTGCTCTGCACAATCACGGAGTCTTATAACAACCAAATGAGACAGGAAAGTATGTTTATTCTTGTTTTTCCTATTAGGAGTGAATGATGCTACAACTGAACTTTAAGTATTTTGGCTTCTCTGCCATGATTTCCATGGAGTCTCTGTTGTTGGAAATGAGACAATGTGAAGAACTTGGCATTTCCCTCTATACCTGGAGACAAGCTACTCCCTCTGTCCCTCTCACCGTCACATCCTCTGAAAACGGGTCTTAGCCAAAGTCTTCAGTTTAGCAGCCTTCTTAGGCTTTGGGTAATGTGCATCCCCCCAAGTCTGTATTTGCAGTATATCACTCACTTGAAAACAGCAATAAGCAGGTTCACCAAAAGGATGTTTGCAACCAAGAGGTAACAGGCCATGATGGCAGGAACAATCCATGCTCCTGTCTTGCAGGGAGGTAGCTGGATTATTTTGCCATCTTCTCTGGTTTCATTTTGACCACAAGGAGCTGGGAACGAGATGCAAAATGGGAATGACTCTTATTTTTTTCAGTGCATTTTACAGAAATATTTAGATATATATAAAGGTTTGCCAGCCAAAGCAACTATCTTCCAAATAATAATTACATTGATGCTCCCCTCTAAGAAGTCTGCACCTGGTATCACAGGTTTTACAAGCTACAGTTCTTGTTATTGTGTGCTATTTGCCATGAATACCAAGATATTCCCCTCAGAAATTGCAGGAGACATGCCTGGTGTGACTAAGCTAATGCATTTTAGCATACAGCTAAAATATCATGGTATTCCGGTAGTAACTAGTGCCTGTGCAAATAAAATAGTCAAAACATTTAATCCTGGAGAAACCTTAGTATTTTTTAATTGGTGAAAGTTCTTTTTTTTTTTTGATTGATATAAAAATGTGATAAATAGCATAAGGATGTGATAATGTGACAAACAGTATAAGGAAAAAAGAAGGACATGAAAGTAGATTAAAAAGGAGACATTTATTACTGTGTGCACTACCCTCAGCCCTTCTGGGACATACTCATAATGACCCTCTGCTATTAAGGACTTTTGACTGAATGCCTAGAAACAGTGGGGGAGATTATCAAGTCTTTACTGTAACAGGTAAAGGGACATGTAGGCAGCAGAGTTGCCACCTGTTTCTTCCCCAAATGCTTTGGAACCAAAATGTTCTTAGTATTAATGTTGCAGAAGTGAAGCAAGGGCAGAAAAAACATTGCTAAATTGTTGCTTTTGATTATTTTTTACGTGCCTTCATGTGCTGTGGTGGGTGACATTCATATGCAAGCGTGGGTTTAGTTTATGTTTTTCTAGCCTCAGTCCTACTCATCCTAAACACCTCTTTAATCAGCTTTTCAAGCAAATAATTGAAGCAGCAGCTTACATATGCAAACCATCTTAGTAAATTTTGCACAGCACTACAGCTAGCTTCCCCTCTTCTCCATCAAAAAGAAGTTTTAACTGAGGGATTTTCAAAGTGCTCAGTACTGGCTCCATTCCTGCTGGTACCGGTGGGAGTTTCCCACTGATTTCACAGACAACAAAGTTCGCCAATGCCCTGTGTTTTGTAAAATTCCATCTTAAGTCAACAAATCCATGATTTCCAATACCAACTACTCCTTTTCAGAAAGGTCCTTCTGAAGTTGGTTCACAACTCAACTTTTACAAGCAGCTCTGTTATGTCTGGACACGTGGTATCATTAGTCCTTCTTACGTACAAAAATACATTTTATTGCTTTAACAAGCTGGAGGTACACAATTCTTTATTTCTCAGAAAGCATTATCTTCAGATTGTTTTAAGTCAGCGTTTACTTTCACGCTTCTTATGCTGCTGCAAGCAGCAGTTTCATTTGGACATTCAAAATGCTGTCTTCGAGTGGCTGTGAATATGTGGCTATGTGCACTTAGCCTCCACCCAGCAGAAACCGGGACATTGGATACTTCTTGGTATCAGTAGTCAAGTGCAAGACTTACATTTCTGCGGAAACAGTAACATGCTCACATGTTGATTCAGAGCTACAAAGTCCAACACAACACAGTACCAAAACCCATTGTGATCTCACCAGTAACAGAAAAATCATGTATCAGTCAATGAAACCTGTTGCCCTTTTGTGTGCTGAAGAACAGAATAAATAATGGTGAGATGCAAAAAAGAAGAAATCAGCGAAGAACATATTTTAAACCTTAGATCAATGACACTAAAAACTCAGCTCAAAGTCTGGTTACAATTACATTATAAAACTTTTTTATATTGAGAAAAGAGAATTTGATCTAAAAAGTAAAAATCAGCCTTGATATCTACAAAGATAAAAAATATTTCACCAGCTTTATTTGCCTAGAACAGAGCATTTAGAATACCATTAATGCACCCCTGTTGTTTTATTCTGCACAGTGATGCCCAAATTAGACTTCCTACAACAACGAAAAAACAAACCACCCCCCCAATTCAAGTATGTAGAGTCACAGGCACATCTCATTTCCTTGCTTTGGTACGATGGGGTAGTTTGCTTTCTCCCTGTCTGGGTGCCAACGTGATGGCCAGCTATAGATCTCAGAATCTGGACAACAGCACTTGCTGTTTGCTAATGAGCAAAGCAGGACAGTGCGTAAATATGATCTGGTAATCAGTGCAAATTTTATTATTCACCCCTACAGTACTTTCACTTGAGTTTCACTCCCAAGCAGGACTCCATCGTATCAGGTCTCCATTTGATAGGAGTCAGTGATCTAGGGCTCCCTCTGTGGAAATGCTACACTTTCCATAACGCCAAAGCTTTTGCTTGCTGTGTACTGTGCCTCATCCCCGAGGGAACTGCACCTGCCTTTCATGTCTAACATGGTTTGACCATTTTAATTATGTTTGGAGAAATTAAGTAATTTTTGTAGTATGTGCGGTAACACACTCTAATAAGCTTTTTCAAGGGTTTTCAAAGAACAATTTCAACGTGTACAAAAACATACTCATCTTTTTACATTACAGCCTTGCTTCAACAAAAAATACATAGAGCACTTAATTCCAGTGAAATGTTTTGCTGAAGCAAATTCTGTCCATGCAACTATACATCTATTTCAGGTAACTGAAAAACCCATTCAGCCTGGTACCTACAGGCCATTGGATAAATGTTGCACATTATGTCCTGACCTCAGGCTTTAGAAAAAAATAAATGGCTGTAGTTTTAATTTCAATTACATGCATTAACTTAACTCAGCTTTCAAATATTGCATCCTGACATCTGTGGATGTACATACTTCCTGCATCTCTCGTTTCCTTTTTCACAGTCCCCTCCTATGCTTATTTTTCCTTCCTGGCTCCCATTTACAGTTTCCTGTATGGGCCTTTCCTGCTACATCCTCTTCCTCTTTCCTGGCCAGCAAATAGTTGCAAAGCACACATCAATAACACAGGGCTCTGTGTTTCAAGCCTAAAGCGGCAGCAGAGCTCAAGAAGAATTTGTCTCCCTGCTCTAATTACTGCCATGACATGAACACTGTTCATTTTTACTGTTAATTGGGTGGAGGGTTTGGGAAACAATGCTTGCAAATTCTGCGTCATGACTCTTCCCCCAGCTTCGCCCTTCCAAAGTAGTTGTGGGAAGTAATGGAGAGGGGAAAGTGCATAATTGAACAGCTTTGTTTCCAAATAGCTTTCTGACTTTGATGAAGCACCTCACATAAAAATGGATAGTTGAAACTAGATGATCTTAAGGTCCTTTCCAACCCTAACCATTCTATCATTCTATGATACTACTTTTACAATACAAGATGATTTGTTTGAGATGACACAAAACTGCATAATGGGTTCACATGATCACAGTTCTAAAGAGTAAGGAAACTAATTTGTGTGTATAGTAACTAACAAACCAACACACCTTTTATTTTTTTTTCAAATCTGGACATTTTAAATGCACCTTCCTCACCCTGTCTGTAAGTATACAGGCACCTTCCAGTTTTGATCTGCACTGAAATCAGAGCATGTGAAAGCATTTTATTATTTTTTTAATGAAATGTTTAAGCAACCTTACCAGCTTGCCAGGCTCTTAAGTATTGAAAAAAGTCTAAGCAAGCTGCCTGGGGCTGTCCACTTCTTCACTGACAGAGAAAATACCAAACTCTGGAAACTGAATCTCACACCATTGCTCTGTTCATCACCAGAAGCATCCTGGGAACTGAACAGTGCCTCATTACTTCAAAAAAGTTGCTTTCACTACATCATCATGACTTGACACGTTGCCTCTTGCCATCAGCCACATTAAAAATGACTTTGAAGCAACTCTCCAATCTGCTGGTATTTTAATCACAATTTATAGTAAATGCCTGTATTTCTCTTGCTCTCTCTAGTGCTTTCTCTCACCTTCTTGCCCCACATAAAAAACATCTAACCAAGTGGAAACCAAACCATAACCTCACAGGAGTGCTAGGAAGGGAAATATTACTGCAACTCAGGCCAGAGAGACTTTCAAAATTGTATGTAGGCTGGACACAAATTTTATCCACTGCCTTTGTATAAAAATTCTAAGAATGTTGTCTGTGCTGCAGACCTGCATACAGATTGAAAAGAAAATGGGTACAAGACCACATAGAAATGACATCCCTTATAGGAAGCTCCAGTAGAGACATGAAAAGCATCAGACCTCTAAAATCATACAGAATTTAAATTAAAATTCTCATTATATAAAGAAATCTTCAATAACTTTAATAAATAAATAAATCTATCAGACAAAGAAATTTAAAGAATTTTTTTTAAAGTCCTCTGTAGTAGTTATATTTCCATCTTCAGTTTATTGGATATTTAAAGCCTGTGTATAATCGTGTCTTATCTTCTGAATCAATTGCATTCTGGTTACTTGGCATTCCTCCAATACAAATGGGAGAGAAGGAGAACCCATCTTTTCTCTTAAACTATGTAGGTTTTTCCAGTAAGGGAGTAGGCCAGGCAACAAACACAACTCAAACTGATCTTCAGATTTCAGATGGCATTTGAAATACTACAGCTGGGAAGAAAATCCAGATGCAAACCTAACATGTAAGACATTAGGCAAATCTGAAAAACAGCCCAAACCAAAAAACCCAAACCCATGTTTGGCTAATAGTACTCTCAGTTGCTTTGCCTTCTTAATATAGGAAAATCTGAGGTCTGCTGCTGATTTCCTAGAGCTGATTGCCATTTCTCAGTGGCATCTATCTACATTTTTTACCAAGGAAACTCACTCCCTGAATAATCCTTTCCTCTTTAGTATTTCTTATACACTTCTGCATCCATAGTATTCTGGAGGCACAGGATAATTGGTAAGATGAAAACAAAGTTCTCTGCATGTGACAACTATGTTGTAATTATTTTTATTTTTGCTAAAATTGCCAGCAATAGTGCCAAAGAAAGTGGAGGGAACTGAGGGAGACATTTTATAGCGTTTGTGGATTTCCTCCCAGACAGGTGTTCACCAAAGCAGCTAAATAGCTGGCTGTTGTTCCATGGACCCCATTGGGCAGCACAAGGCTCAGCTGCATTAACGAAGGGAACCTACAAGTGATACAGCTGCATACACGACCACCAGTTCTCTGACCTGGATCGCCCTTCCTCTCCCAGCTAACAGTGGATAATAATGTATCTTCATTCAACTACATAATTGATGCCAGTCTAATTTTTTCAATTTATCAAGCTCTTATTATTATTCCTTTCCTGAAATATACTTAATGTTTCATTTCCCAACCTTTAAATAATTCATAAATTTGATTAGCTTACTGCCTTCTTTTAATTCTTCAGTCTGAGCCTTTATTTGAATCCCACGAATCCCTAACAAAGATTTTCCAGGCCCAGTTTAAAACTCAGTAGTCCAGTGCAGCTTTAGTCATTAATGATGTTTCACACGGACTGGTATTTTGACTGGTTGCACTTTTCTATGAAGTAGCTTAACTAATCCCTAATCTTTACATGCCTCCAAAGGCTGTTTCAGGTGATTACTAAAACTTCCTGAGGATCCAACATGGTACATGTAATATTCTGCCACTGTCAGATCAGCTACAAAGAATTAGCTGAATAGCTGGATAGAGCTGGAAGAACAATATGGCCTAATAAATCTTTGTTGTGCCTCCTTTGTCTATAGACCACATACTGCTCACTTCCTGCTCAAAGATCTAGAGGAAGCCATTATGGTTGCACTATGATAGTAAAATCTGTCTATTCTAATTTCCCATTCCCCAAGCCCCTATGGTGCTGAGCTATGGACTCCATGGGTAGCTAGGACTGAAAGAGTACCAGGAACCTAGGATGTCTCCATCGTTAGTAGTAGCTGCTGTTCCATGTGTTACTGTGGTTCCCCTCCAGCACTGTTTTAGGCACTGCAAAGCACATACTCAGAGGTTCTTGCTTCTCAGAATTGCTTCAGCCAATTCTTCAGCCAAGAATTACTTCAGCTGACCATTCTAGTTCTGAATCCTTTTTTACACCCCCCCCCCTGTTTTTTATGACAAGATTTTCAGAAAGTGGTGGCTCCACCTGTGATGAACTATCTAGTCTGAGAGGAACAACCTTGAGAGTGTTTTTGCCCTTTTTGTTGAATTTTTCTGAAAATTCGAACATAGTTCTAAAAGTTTTGCCTGCTTTCCCCTTCCTTCCCTATCAACAATTGGTTGACAGTCAGGAATTTGTAGGAATGTAGTCTTTATATACATCACTGATAATAAATGACACCACTGAAGAGTGTATTCATAATCCCAGAAGTGAGTATTAATTGTCCCCACTTCTGAGTTGAAGATGAGATCCCATGTCAACAGGATACTAATGCACATTACAGTTAACATATGTATTTAAAAATTGAAATGAATACAGAAATTATGGGTTAAAAATGTAAATGTATATGAAAGCATTATTTTAGAGCGAGGCATTTAGCTAGTGTTTTATCAGTGCGGTGTGTTGAAATAAAAATCAAGAGTAGACCCACTGGATGAACAGGTTGCCAGCTGATATGAATCCAGACATTGTAACTGGTCAGCCTTAATGGCATGCTCCACAAATCAACAGAAAAGGAAACAAACAAATAAACAAACAAAAAGTAAGCTAGAAATTTTAGAGTGCATACTTTTTTTTTTTTGTACATTTCTCAACAGCAGGATATTCTCCAAAATCGTGGCTCAAATGTATATGCACTTCCAAGATTTGCACTTTTGCTGAATCCCAGACTTGCAGATAATGTGGCAATATTAAACACGTTAATGAAGCCCACAAAGAAACCCTTTCGGTTTGCTAAAACAATAGTAATAATAGTAATAATAATAATAGTAGTAGTAGTAATAATTAAAAAAATAAAAATAAAAATAATAAATAATAGTGCTCCAAGCTGTAACATTCAACTACAGTTTAGATGCAGCAGAACAATTTTAGAACATGTTTATCATATTTGAGAAAGTACAAACACTGTAGTACTCTAACATGAATGCAGTGGCTGATTTAGCTTAGAACAACTTCGAATATATATTCGAAAACATATTTCCAATTGTGAAAAAATGCAAGTATGCTAATAAAACCTTTTGGGTGCCAATCAGGTCATTCTGATTGTGTAACAGGATCACCAACCGCTTGCTTATGCTCCCACTTTATTCCAGAGGTAACATTTCTGAGACAACCAAGCCTCAGACAGACATGACATATTGCAAATATTTTGTGCTGCAAGAGTGGCAGATTCTAATTCCCTGCATCATCTGTCTCTCAGGAAGAAGGAACTAGGTGCTGCTTTTCATTTCAGCCTCACCACTTTTGCTGCAGCTCCTAGTTTCCTTGACACAGAGAACAATAACGTATCTACACTTACAGCTGGAGTTGAAACAATCAGGAATTTTGCTTTTCCTAAGACTCAGAAGTAATTATGCTGCACCTTTTTTGCGAGGTTTAAATGTTGGGCATCTGAATAACACCCAAGACAATCCCTGAATCCTCATGCAAGGGCATGGAGCCTGCCACCCTCTTTTCATACTTAAAACCCAAGCTTCATACAAAGACACTTTAGTTTCTCCGGTTTTGGGGTTCTAAACTATAATCAGCACTTAATTTTAAAAAACAAAAACAACCAATTCAGCCAATTACCATGTTTGTTGCACTATGACAGTTACTTATTTCACTATCAATAAATGGCCACTTGTAGAGGGACAGACAGGATTCAGCTTGTGAAAGGAAGTCATAGTTTAATAGGATAAGCCTTTATCACTCTATAATACTTTTGAAGCAAGATGAAGTTTTACACCCCCAGCCATCATGCCTTTGGAATGCGATGAATTGTTAAAAGAAAAGAAAAGGAAAAAGGAAAAAAAATGAGGGAACCAGGTAAAAAGATCAACTCAGTGAGAAGCTTTGTGGTTTTAGGTATTTGTTTACTTCCTTGCATGCCATGCTGCCTCTGAAAACAAAGTGAGGAAGTAAACATAAAAAAGAGGTTTCACCCGTATCCACAGTAATGATTCTGTGCTAATCAGGAGTACAGAAATGAACATGGAACTTCTGAAATACCTGCCATGGGTATTATGTACATGTCAGTCCATTTGAAACTCTGTTAAGTTGGAGAAATTATTGGTAATATAGATACATTTATTACCTTTACCAACTCAGGAGAAATCAGCACCTTTTTCATTCAAACTTTGTCAATACTGGACAAGAAGATAAATTACGAAAACACTGCCCTTTTCTAAGGTGGTGCATAGGATAAAAAGGAATATCCTACACTGAGCCTTAATGAATGCCATCTGCCACTGGAAAAGATACTTACTTCTAAATGCTGCCAAGGCTAATGCATATTTAAATAGGAATGAGGAACATCAGTTGCATGTCAGTGATTGCTAAAGATACATTGTTTGTGATTTTTAGTTTGTGTATCTACCACATAATTTCTTATGACCTCCCCTCTCCTTTGGTGTAATGCACTGGGTGGCACCAGAAGGTTTAATTTAAATAGAAAACTGGCATTCTCCTGATCACCAGCCAAATGAACGCTCAGAGACAGTATATAAAATGCTAGCTTTTGTTCTGTTTGCACTGATGTGAGCACAGTCATGCCTTCCAGTAAATAAATAAAGAAAAATTCTAATAATGCCTACTGTCCCTAAAGAATTGCACCACATGATTTAGTGTAAAGCTGGCGGCAGTGAGTAGGTAACAGAGAAAACACATTGGATTAGATCCTCATGAAGTGCAGGAGCTGAAGGTCTAATCCAGTATTATTAGATCTGATGATCAGTACAAAGTTAGGTAAAAAGTATTTAGGTCTAAAATCAAACAAATGGATGAGAAAAAAAGAAAAAGTGATTTTTTAATGTCCTAGGTATACCAAAGAACTCATGGTGTATCCCTGCAGAGATATCCCTGTCACCCAACTGGTAAAAAGGAACCATTTAAAACATTATTTATATGCGAGATAATTTAGCATTACAGACTTCTGGGTAAATAGCTGTGAAGTGATACCAGAAGCACATTCAGAAACTGACACCCCAATATTAGCTGAAAAAATATTTTTGGGACCATTCTCTGTGATGAAGGAGTTCCTCTATCCTGAGCCATTTATTGAGTACACACACATGATCTAGTAGGACATCATCTGATCAAAGTTGGATACCTGACTTTGGAGTATGAGAATCATAAACTTGCTTACGGTCTATCTGGTCTGCAAACACTTCTCCATAGATCATCCAATAAGGCATGTAAAAAATGTTTTTCGCCAGCTTCCATGAAGGCTCCTCGTTAGGGAAGAGAATAGCCTGTCTTGCAACACCAAAGCTCATCAGAACCACCAACATGATGATGACAAAGTACATCATGTCTATCATCTGAATGTAATGACAGGAAAGAAAGAGAGAAAGAGAGAAGGGACAAGAATTAGAGGAACTTATTTGTCCATACTCCTGTTATTATATGCTGAAAAAAAAAGAAGTTTATAAATCTTAGAATTTTCAAAAACAAATTTGAAAAGCCATTCTCAGTTTTACACATAACAAATTTCACTTTCAAATAAGTGAAGCAGTATTATTGTGTCTTTGGTTTTATCCAGTGTTGCTTTTAAAAACAATTTAAATGTTGTGCATAGGCTTGGAAATACAAGATACCATCTGGCCACATCAGTTGCCTGAACAACAATGTAGGTACATTGGAATCAGCAGCCTGGCCTGGTCATGGCTCAAAAGATGATGTATTGTTTATAGGTACCTAGTGGAAACTGTATAAAACAAAAGGGCTGACATGGATTATTTTATTTACTGGTAGCCATTGACTTGGAGCAAAGGAAGGGAGCTGCGTCTAACGTAAGGAATAACGGGTGTCAGAACAGCCTGTTATTGCAACACCATGGTGGTAACAGTGAGAAAGGAAAACTGTGACACTGGCTGGACTAGAAATCAGCTTGGTAGGGGAGTCTGACAAAGACCTATTTTTTTAAAAAAGTAATGCAGATAACACAGACACTTGACTATTCTTCTCCATTGTTGGAAGGTCTCATTAGCACATGCGCAAGTTTAACCAGTGCTTGCAAACATTGCCTATACATTCAAAATGTTCCTGGAAAAAGTAGGACAACAATACTAGGAGGTGCTGAATAGAAGCTGAAAATTAGAAGATGAGTTGTGCTAGAAAAGACCTCCCAGAGAGCAGAGCAATGGACATCAAGCAGGTAAAGCAGAGATGCTTTATAACCCCAAAGGATGGTAAAAATAATGAGAGTCCTGTTAGGTCCCTGGTAAGATCATAGAATTGTAGAATCTTAGAACGGCTTGGGTTGGAAGCGACCTTAAAGATCATTCAGTTCCAAATCCCCTGCCATGAGCAGAGACACCTTCCACTAGACCAGGTTGCTCAAACCCTATCCAGCTTGGCCCTGAACACTGACAGTGATGAGGCATCCAAAACTTCTCTGGGAAACCTGTGCCAGTGCCTCATCACTCCACAGTAAAGATCCCTTCAAAATCCTTAGCTACAGACTTACAGGTCTTCAGTTACAAGGCTTGTTATGACAGAGCTTTTCTTCACGGCTTTGGATGTAACTTTTGTTTCTGGCCAAAACTCAACCCAAAACTCCTCTAAACCTCAAAGTTCTAATGAGTTGCAATCTTTGCATTTTCTGTCTCAGCTGCATTCTACCTTCCCTGCTAGGCAGGTGTGCAAGCAATCTGCACTTCAGCTGGTGGCCTTATAACTCCACTGCAAACCTGAAGCAGCTCAGGAGTAAGGTTGCTCATGACAAGCCAGCAGAGGAGGGTTCTTCAGTTTTAAGGAACAAGGAGAGAGACCTTAGGTCAAAGTAACAGTGGGAAAGTATCTAAGAGAGAAAAGAGCATAGCAGCATACAGAAAGGATATTCACATATCTACTGAGAGAGAGGCTATAGGAGAAAGACATCTATAGGGCAGGGCTCTGGTAAGAGAGATTCAAGAAGCTAGAAAGAAGGAACTGGGGACAAGTGGAAAAAAAAGCTGGGAAAAACAGAAGTCTTGAGGTTCATAAAAACACATTAAAGCAAAAAACAATACAAACAAAAACAAAAAACCCAACCCCCCCCCAAAAAAAAAAACAACAAAACCATCCCAAGTCTGGGACATGGGAGAGGAAAATAAATGCCTTAAAGAAAAAAAACCTGACATGTAAATCACTAACATTCTTCCGTACTTTCCTTTATCTTTCAAGAAAACCTGCTGGAAAAGGGATTCCAGTTCATTGTACCTCAGACAGCATCCTGAAATGGACAACCACATTTAGTTCTTACTGCTTTTAGGGAAGGAATTTGGAGATAAAACCTGATTTGTCCTTTCTTCTCTGATGAAAACTTGTTTCAGATAGAAATATATAAAGTGATATGATGCAATGTAATACTTATTTTAAAATGTCATGCAAGTAAATAAACATAATGAGTATTTGGTGGCAATTTCAGACAATTTCTTAAATCCTTCCAGTGTTTTTGATTAGGAATTACAGGTTTGACCTCATGGTACATGAAATGAAATTTTCAGTGCTATGCTCTATTGAAGCTGCATATTAGCTTTTCCCCCCTTTGGCTGGGTATCCTAAAACCTTGGTAGCTTGACTGAAATTTAGTTAAAAGATGGGTGAATTTCTACTGATTCTAATGGACATTGTATCAGGCTCTTTGGCCTCTAGTGTCAAATTACAATTGCCTTTTTAACAAGGCAATGACCATTTCAATCATTCTGCAGAACTCATTAGTCAGATATTTTAAAAAAGTGATAAACTAAGAAACTGTTGGTGCAGTTTTATAAAGTTATTTCTGTTTCCTCTTTTTAAATTGCACATAAGCTAAGAAAATGTAGACATTCCCACACAGTAAGGGAACTGATATACCTCGGACTTTCAACGTACTACAGTGATTTCATTTCATCCCCGTAATTCTATCACTGTGCAGAGATCAACAAAGCACATTATAATGAACATATCCTGTTAATGAAACTGGTAGATAATAACAATGTCCAGCATTCAGCTTCCTTCTCCTAACCTTACTTTTGCTTTATGCCATTGCTTTTAAACCACTCAAGCCCATTCCTATCCTTTGCGTAATGTCACTTACATGTTTGTTCATGATGCCCAGAGGCAAAATCTATTACAGTTACTTTGTTGGATATAATGTAGAGGGAGGTGACGAGAAAGCTCCTTAACATTGTAAAGATGGAAAGAATCAACTTTTTCTTCCTGAGCCTAAAACATACTTTGAGTAGAAACTCATCGTAAAAGTTCGGGCATTAAATACAGTCTGTTCAGGAACTCAAAAGCTGAGATGGGGTTACTCTGTAGAAACATGCGTAACACTTTGTAGTAATATGCATAACCAGCTTGATGTTCTCCATAGCACTGAATGGTACTTGCAAGACCATGAAACGAAAAAGACAGAACACGAGGAAGTAAATGGATATGTGATTTAAGCAAAAATCCTCAAGGGAGCTCACTGTAGCCTGCAGCAAGCATGTGCAACTCCCAGGGAAGTCTGTGTATGATATAAATGGACTGGCCATTACACAGGGGAGTTAAGTGGTCCAGAAAACAGATGTGAGAGGCAAATTTGTGTAACTCAAACCAGTTGGGCATTGCATGTGTGGGGAAAGTGGATGTGTCAGAGTTGCTGAGTGGATGAAGTATAAAAATCAAGTAACAGGAAGGCACAAAATAAAAGAACTTTCCTCCTTTAACCCACACCTTCAGAGTACTCTGGCAGCTAAATTCAACACCGTCTGAGTGGGAGTTGGGTCTACAGAGGCTGGTGAGGCTGGTGGAATGAGGCTTGATTTGTCGTACAAAGGATGACAAAGGAATGGAAATGATATTATTTTACTGATTTCAACCACTGTCATTCTGTGTTGACCCCAGGAGAAAAATAAATTACTGTTGATACTATTGGTGAAGCTGGACTCCTTTCAGCCATCCATAACACTGGCTACTCAGAGTTTATTGTTCATGGCCAATCTGTTTGTTACTGAACTGTTTTTCAGACTGTCTTTGCTAGTACCACAACTCTGGAACTTTCTGTGCACAGCACCTGTGAAAAATACAACAGACTAGGAGGGTAGTTGGTCTTTTTTTGGAGTTTTATACACTGTGTGTTGTGTAAGTCCTGGTGACAACCAGATTCCCCAACAGAGGGACATAGTCCAAGTGGGACATGAAAGGAACAGATGATAATGCAGTGTTTTCTTTTTTGCGTTTGGTCCTTTCTTTTGTCCTTCTGTCCTTTTGCAGTGAACTCCAGCAAGAACTGTTATTTTCACCTCTGTATTCTGGAGCACTGCAAAATCCGTCACATCAATACCCTACTGTCTTCCCTGAAGGAAGCTAGCACACTTCAAAATCCTGCTTGCAGGACATAATGATTCAACAACCACTTTATTTTGTGTTTTTCCTCTATCTTTTTTTTTTTTTTTTTCCATTAAGCAATGGTTCTTCTGTCACCTCTTGGGTAGGAAACCTAACTGGACATGTATTTTACATTTCAACTTTATACCTACTTAGAATCACTGAGTGACTGAGCTTGTTGTGACTAATGTAACATCAAGGAGGGGTGACAGTTCATGCATTCATATATGTGCTCTTTTCCCACTATGGTGAGGAAGAAGGGTGGATACAAGTCCTATTTGGACTTGCTGAGTATTGTCCACATATAAATCATATAGCATATTTAGGAAAGTTGATATTCGGTTTACTTTTTTTACTGAATACCAGCTTCAAGATTTTATTTATTTATATATATATATATACATATATATATATTTAAATAAATTTTAAACCCCAAAATGCATGAAACAGTGATAAATTACACAATAACTGCATATAAAACATAAGCGTGTGTATTAGCTACATGTGCAAGTACTCAAACGTCATGGACATGCATCTGAAGGCTCAGCCATTTTCTTTAACTCGTATGTGTAAAATGCTGCTTTAATGCAACATTTGTACTGAAATATAAAAAGGCAAAAAGTCAAAAGTTATAAATCTGGTAGCAATCCCTCTTGGTTCTTCCTGTATGTACGTACTATTACATAAATGTAATGTACATATGCATGTACTACTACATAAACTGTTCATATTCCTGGCATGTCATGTACATGTACATGATGTGGCCAGAGAACAGAGGCTGCAGCTGAACAAGAAAGATGGAAGAACATATCGACATGGAGCAGACTACAGAAAGGTCACAGTGTTAATCATAACCATTATAGATTTGAATATACCACGCCTATTAAACACACTTTGAGAATCTTAAGGTAAGAACACCTTTTTAACCTTAACAAACCTCCCTCCTTCACAACTAGTTGAGAATTAGCATCCTTTGTATTTTCTTCAAATGAGGTGCAAAGGTGTAAATGGGTGGTTTTGCTGTTTAAGAGATGCGAGATGTCAGAGAAACACAAGTAATACATTATGTAACAGAACACAGAGAGTCTAATCCTCAGTTCTGGAAATCTATGATGAGGTTTTGATTCAATAAGGCACTGATTTCTAGCTTGCATGAAAATCCTGATGTGTAAAAAAAAAAATACAGATAAATCTGCAATGATATCATTGGCAAAAGGCATTGAGTCAAGAACATGCTGGTAAAACATAAAGAGAGTACACTATTTCTCTTACCATTTTCCCAATCATCATAACATATGGTCCCAAATACTTGTTTACTCCAAAGATGTCTAATAACCGTATATACCAGTAAATGATGTTAACACAGTATATCACTCGTCCATCACTCCGCAGTGGCAGATCTTGCAGACGGAGCACCATCCCAACGGAGAACAGGAGGATAGCTATGAGGTCAGTAACATTCCAGTACTCCTGGAGCCAAACTTTCACCTTCTGTAACAACTTCCCAGGCTCTGACATCAATATCTGAAGGACAGACGGAATGGAGGGGAAAGGAGCTGAGCTTCTTAATATAAGCTTGAAGGAAACTATAGTAAACAGATATATGCCACACAGGCCAAAGGAAAGGTGATAGACTCCTACTGTATGAAAGCCTCATGCACTCTCTAGATTTTTTGAGAAATCTTCCATTTCAATCCTTTTTAGCTTGTATCTATGTGCAATTTACTTAAAAGAAAAAGGATGAAAACACCCACGAAATCAGAAGAAATGTATGCCTATCTTTCTGTTTCTCAAATTTATTGACCCTACTTTGAGTCTTGGTATAGAGGGAGAAATGTACAAAGATATTTCATCAGAAAATTAACATTTGAAGAAGCTGTAATTTTAAGAAAAAATATTCTAAAATGTGTATCAAACTGTCAAGAAATAATGAATAACCATTAAGATCTGGATTTAGCATTTAATCCAGAGAGATACTAGCTACTACTTGGACCTATTTTTGAAAATTAAGTTCCACAGCTGAGAATATAATTCACAAAAATAATTAATCTTTACTTATAATTTATAGTCATTCTATTTGCAAGATCATTTGGGAGACTTGATTGTTTTCCTAAATTACTGTTGAAACTATTCTTCAAGTGATTTCTATGAATAATTCGTAGCTTTTAGTGAGTTAACAAGCTGTTTGTTTTAATTTTCTAAATTTAGCCTGAGAACATTTGAGCAGACTCATACAGTTCCTTAAAAAGATGAATGCTATTCTTATAATTTTCTTATAATTCATTTTCAGAGTGAATTTTAGGCTTGTCTTCAGTGAACAATCTCCCACATCTGCTTAGAAATCTATTATAACAAATGGTCTTGATAAACTTTTGTGGAAAGGACAATTTGGGGTGAATGATTAGACAAAAATGGCACATATGATTCCTGCCAGCAGCCTCCCTTCTACTGAGCCAGTGGTGTTTTGTCTCCATCAGTGCTGCAGAGTCCTTGTGTGGCTATTGCCATTGGTTTTCTTTTGGTTAGTGAAGTACTCTCATTATAGGCCACACAAGTAGTGACTTTTCCTCTTCTCTGTTTTTTTATAACGTAGAGTTTACCATACAGTGTTTGAAATCTGCCTTTGAAGTCTAAGCGGTTGTTGCAAGACCATTTTTAGTCTAGCACTCAAAAGCATTTGCTGCAGAAAATACAAATGCAGATGGAAACAAATTCAGCCCAGGGGTACAAATGTGCTGTTTTAGCTGAGGTCAACAGGACTTGCACCCACTCACATCGGGGCTGAATTTGGCCTCTGGTGTTGTTGCAGAATAGATGTGCATTTGTCCAAGTGTAAGGGCACAGTGGTATCTGCAAGTGGGAGAGATCATGAGGGGCGGATGGTAGAACAAGTTCCCTCTGCCTACAGACCGAGTGCCACCTTAAATGCTATCTCTGCTCTACGTGTGTGCATTAGCATCTTTAGGAAGATGCATGCTGTTGCTTGACATAATTAGCAAAAATTTTCAAGATTAGAAAGGAGGAATTTTCTTAGAAAGGTGGCGCAATATTCAATGTGGATCTGAATCTTCCCTCAGCTATGGCTGGTTTTACTTATATCCTTTGCATGACACACGTGGACGTACAGAACAGCTGTAAATTTTGAATGAACTCTGTTTGGGTTAAGAATCTGAACACAGGTTTTTCACACTATCCCCAAGCCTCTGTTCATTGTGTTACAGCATATTTCCTTGTCCTCTCCCTGAAGCAAATTTCAGTTTCTAGGCCACATTTCAAGGAATATAGCTGTGTTTTGAGATATATCAGAAAGCTGCCTCATACTTGTGAATTCTATTAAATGTGCATCACACAGCAATTTGAAAACAGGAGAAAAAGAGACACTTGATTTTGAAATGAAGATAGTTTTTTTAGTGCTGTGTTTTTAATAATCCATCTGCTCTTCTGAAAAAAAAAGGCAATTCTATGATAAACCTGTTCATCAAAAATTATCCTGAGAAAAATAATAAAAACAAATATTCACCACCCCCCCCAGAAAAAAAGCAAATAAAAAAAAAGAAGAAAGCAAAGCTATTTCTTTTTCATTCTGTCTTTTTTGGTTGGGGTGATTTTACCTCTCTCATCTTCTCTATTCCCAGAGTGAAAATGTACGAGATGACAATCCATTCCTGTGTAGATGGCCAGCGATCCATCTTCACTAACACTATATAATTGAAAAGCATCAAGTAGCCTATATATGCCAGCTGTAAAGAAACAAAATGAATATCAATACTCACTATATTTATATAACTGACCCAGTTTCTTAGGTATGGTTTGATATTCCTAATTCTGCCGTAACCAAACAGACAAAAGAACAACTAGTATTCTGAGTTGCCTGAAAATGCTCACATTAAATCACATACAGTGTGTATTCTGCAACATGCATGCACAAATGTCCTCTCCTCAAGCTACATCTGCCTCCCCAGCAAAATTTTATTAATGCAGTCACCCTGGATCATCCCACAGTGATGGGAAGTCTGATACCACTATGTCAACTACCGAACTAGTTACCTAATTGACTACAAACAAGTTACCTAATTGAAGATTTCTCCCTCATCTGCTTATAAAGCCTTTACTCCTCCAACACCAGTCCTCTGTGTTTTTCTCCCTGTTCTAGGTTGACTTTGGCTTTGCAAACCCTTTTTGCACAATCCTTGCCTGTAGCCCAGAAGGTCCTGGGTTTTGCTAGAGCTCTTTCTACGCAGTGTGACACTGCCCTAACCTATACTACGTTTCCAACCCAAAATGTTGCCACTCCTACTCACACTGCTGCAGCAAGTAGCCAGGCACAGCTATACATTCATTTGCATTATATTTCTTCCAAGTTTTTATGTGTAACTGTTTTGCCTTCCTATCTCTAATATGCTTCCTTCTGACCTAACTTTTCATACAGTGGAAAGTGTAGGTTCTGTTTTTAGCTTTTTTTCTTTCTTTCTATGTGCTGAATGTGATGAAATGGTCGGTCAAAAGATGACAAGACCAGCAAATTTGCATCACCAAGTTCATAAAACTCAAGAGTAACCTAAGTAACACACTGGAGCATGTACTTTGGCAAGGGTGAATGGCTGTGGCTGAGATCTGTGGTGGCCAGAATCCAACTGTCTCTCTACTCTGCCTTTGAAACAACAGCCCTACAAAAAAACCCTCATCTTAGCCAAATTTAAATCAGAGAAAATATGATACAGTTCTGTGCATGAACATATTAGTCAGAAAAAAAGCTTATTCCATACACTTGTATTTCTTTATGGGTTTTCTCTCTCAACCCCATGTTACTCACAACTGTTGTGTACTTGGTGTCGGACTCAAGACAAAGCAACCACAGAGGGCCTGGAGACTTTTCGGTAGGGTTATTTCAGTGCTCAGTGCCTCACAGAACAGGATTTATAGTCCTGCTGTATTTGTTAGTGAGCATCACTTCTGCTCTGTGTAAAAGCCACGGGTTCTGGTTTCTCTTACAGTTGCTGGTTTGAAGGACACTTGAGAGGTTTATTTACATTGGCCATAGCTATCAGTGCAGAGAAGACAGTCAGCTGAAACACTGCTTCTTGTCTACATAAAACAGAGGAGGAAATGATCTCATTGGTCTCAGTCTGTGCATGATGGTGGATTGCAGTGCTCATGTCTAGAGTGTAGTCTTCCCTTAACACTCCTGAAGGAAATGGAGAGCAATATTGACTTAGGTCAACATCTAGGGTGCCAGCTGAGTCAGCAGAAACTCTGGGAAGGCAGAACTGCATGCACACCTCCCTAGCTGAAATTACACCTTCCACTATAGTAGTGCAAAAAGCCAGGTGACACTGCCAGGAACGTACCTCCTCTTAAATCTTCTTGATTATTAATTAACAGCAAATCATACCAATTTGGTCTGACTCAGCAGTCTTTGGTGAGCTTTTGCAGTTAGTATGGTAAAAGAATAGCGCCATTAATGTTACAAAAGTGTCAGAAATCACAAGACCCACCATGTAACTAAAGGTTGTTACTTTTTTTTTTTTTTTGGTTTGTTTGTTTGTTTGCAATTCAAATTTACTGAAAATTGCTGAAAAATTTTGCTTGGGGAAAAAAAAAAGAAAAGAAAAAAAGGATCTTGATTTAAAAATAAAATGATGCTGAAACTGCGTCACCTTAGCCCGAGGATCCAAGGAATGAGCCTTTCAGATAGTGACACCTTCCTTCTCCCTCCGTGGAACTGCAATTTTCTCCTGTCTTCCAGGAGGATGTCCTGATCAACACTGTGGTCAAACCTCAATACAGCTGCCCATGCTGGTACTCAAGACTCACTGAAAGTGGTTTGCAATGTAACAGTCAAAAACCAGACCAGAGTAGTTATGTTTTGAAACTATTGCATGTCCAGATAGAAAGGCTAATTTTATTTCTTTAAAAAAAGCTGGTTATTTTGGCTCATCTGCTGAGTCAAAATGTTAATTACTCAAAGATCCCCACATTTCACCCACTCTTGTGCATTTTAAGAATGAAGGTGGATATAGCTATAAAGTAATAGCAGATAGGCAGATATGGAATAATCAAATTATTTTCCATGACATACAGTAGCCATAAGTATGGTTGCTTTTTTTGAATGTAAAATTTGTAGGATTTCTTTTGAAGCCTATGATTAGTACTTCTGCCTGTGTGCTCATAAAAAGTGTGACAGGCTGTGCAATTTTAACCCTCATCTGAATGTTTTTGCTTTTGGTCTCCAGGAGTTTCTCAGTATAACCAACTGGTCAGGCACTGCAGGCAGAATCCACCTTAATTTGCTCTTCAGTGTAGCCAAGATCCAGCTTTAGTAAGTGACCTTGATTGAGACCTGCCTCAGGACACAAAACTGTAGAAACAGGTCTAAATGGAAATGTAATATTGATCTCCCATTTCAGAATTGAACTAACAGGGAAAGCCAGGATGCTCCTTTCTGTTTAGTGTGAAGACTTTTCTGGTTCTGTATAATACATATTGCAATTGATAATGAGACTAGGCTGCTGATGAGCAATTTCTAGACTCATCAGCCTGATTAATGTTCAATGGCCACATAATTCAGCAACAGTTATTCCAAGTTGCCAAACTGGAGCTATTTGCTAGCATAAGCTGTCCGTGACAGTTTAGTCTCTGTTGATGTGAGTTTTTCCTGCTGTCTGTAGACATATTGCCTTGATCTCAGCAAACCAATTTTTCTCACAAGAAGGATGCGCTCTTTGTGATTTGCTGTGCGTTCAGCAGAATGCTGGAAAATATAACTGTGAATGGCCACCTGAAATCTGCTGGCCAACTCCATGGTGCTGAGATGGGATTAATTACAGTGCATCACAATGGATACACGTTTTTATAAGATGGACTTAGAAATCACTAATAATTGAAACTCTACCATCTCTTTACACAGTGTATGATAGTACCTGTCAGAGGAGTTAGAAGCCTTTTCCTAGCATCTTACCTAGAACTGCCTTGCTGCAATTTAAATCATTACTTCTTGTTCTGATTAGCAATGATTTGGAGATTATGCCATTTTGTTCCTCTCTGCAGCTACTTACTCCTATTTGAAAACTATCACATGCCTTCTGCAGACTTGTTTTTTTTCCCCAGAAAACAACCTTACTTCCGTAAATCCTTCCCCTTAAGTCATGTTTTACAGAAATCCTGAGACATTTTTTCTTGTTCTTTTTTTGTGTCCTTCATACCATACCTGTCACATGATGCAGGAGCTGAACTGGGATTGAATATTCCAGCCAAGGAGACTGAAAGGATTACTTTCAGTGTTCATTTTACTTTTTGATATCATCCTTCTAAATTCTAGTGCAATTTAATAACTAATCTCTACTCCATCACCCCAGTTTCGAATGAAAATATCAGAAAGCACTTGATGTAGGAGAGATGGTTATGGAATTCTTTCCAATCCTTGCTTCCAGCTTGATAGTGAAGCACTAATTGCCAAAACACTTTGTATCCACATAGTAACTTTCATAAAGCAGTTATTAATTTATTTGTGAGAATACCCTGTAAAGTTTTTGCCACTGTCTTACTTTAGTAAAAATATATGACTTTTTTTTTTTCCTGCTCCATCTGCAAGATCTGTTTCTTTATAGTACAAGGAGATTAGACTGATTTGATATAATTCGTCCCAGGAAAATGTACAATAACTGCTATTCATGTCTCTGTTATCTTGTTGGTATTTACACAAACACTTTCTGAGAGACACTCTGCAGACTAGTCAAAACAGAACAAAGAAAAAACATGTTCAAGAAAACAGATATGCTCTATCTGCTTCTTGCTTCCATCAATTATTATACAATTTGATATCCTGATTCAACTCAGCCTTCCACTGGACTTACTATTGGGAGCTCTCTCCTACTGGGAATTTTTATAGGGAATTTTTGGGGAGAAGCAAACTACCTTATTGTTGTGTTTGAAGAAAAACATACAAAGCCATTCAAATTTTAACCATTAGGCAGGTTTGCAAGTGCTAGCTGGCCTTCACAAAAGTTTTTTATTAGACTATTTACAGGTAAGCCCTCCAATGCACACAGACACAGGCATTCAATGAAACACACAAGATGACCTTAATCCACTTTCCATATTTGTCCAAAGAGCAATAATACAACAGGAAAATTTTCTTACTGTGTAAAACCAAAATTTAACAATGGGCGCATTGTAGAACTCATAAATCTTTCTTCCAACAGGGATCAGTCTGTGCCTGCTCTGAACTTCCTCTTCCTCTTTCTTTCTTGAGGACTCTCCATTCCCTCGTCCCAGCATTGCCTACAAGAAAGAACATTTTTGTATTTTTTCTTTGTGAAAAACAAACAAAGCTTTTACATAGCTACTTTTTTATTTTATTTAATTTTAAAATGAAACTATTCAAAACTTCTGTGATTTCTTGATCTTTAGACAAAACTAGGTGACCATAGCCAGGTGTAAAATGCTTTGTTCTCAGATTATCTTTCACTGTGGGGAAGCTTCTGTTTTAATACTTTATGAATCGAAATAGCAATGCCTTGGCATCATCTGTCAGCACCTGAGTGCAATCCTTGACTGATGAACAGAAAATGAGATGCGGAGAACATTGCTCCTTTTTGCTGTATGGACAGCAAAAAGTTTATCTGACAACAGCTTTTTGTGGTGCAGCTCTATACAGTAAACAGATGCAGATAGAGAACAGATAAGTTTTGGTTTTAAGCAAAGAGAAGTTTGTAAGGCTGAGACTGAAAGAGAACAATGGGGGAAAGATGAGTTGGCAGTTGCTGGATTGAAAGCAATGAAGCCAGTGACTTTCTATGTTGATTACTGGATATGTTAAGGGTGATGATACCACAGGGAGCTCGACATGAATGTAGAGGACCAACCAGTAGAATTCACTGCAACACTGTCTTGGACTGAAGGATCCTTTTACATGATAGTAGCTTTTTCCATAATGAAGGTCCAGACTGCTCATGCACTGACTCTGTTAGGTTTGATCTTACTGTTACTGTCATGACTCAGACCCACTAGAGAGTTATGCTGAGCTCCAGAAACACGTACTTAAGAAGTCCTCAGCTATAAATGCAAACCAAACAGGTAAAAGATGGTGATGTTTTGTTTACTCTTAACTTTATGTTCAGCTGCGGAGAGGCGGAACGTATGGCTAAACTACAAACTCACCAAAGTTAATGCTTAAAAGCTCTTTCTTTTTATTTAGAGTACATCCTGATCTATTAAATGTTCTTTCTGAAAGCAATTTTTTTTGTGAATAGTAGATTAAGAGTAGATTTTAGGTCACTATACCCTGAGCAAGTTCTCACTACTTAGTTTGTGCAGCATCTATAGATTGTAACACTTTTGCACATGAAAGCAATTGCAAGAGTTGATATGCGACTGTCCTGTCTAAGTATGCAGTGATTGCACAATAATACTTTTATTTACATGCTTCTATAATGTTTTTCTACAGGTAGATCAAAGCACTTTCATACTTTCATGTCAACTGAAGCAAACTTTCACCACCCCTGAAGATAATGTTCTCATCTGCAACTTAAAAATGTGGAAAACTAAGCCTGTAAAGACAACTATGAGATGCCAGGCATATTGTCTTTCAGTGAAGAAGTCTTTTATCTATCTCTGTGCTTTCTGATTCGATAGGATGTTCAGCACATACTTAACTAACCAGCTTCAGGTGAGCTACTTGTTCTGGTTCTAGTGCCCTGCAGGAACAGGAGATGGGCTTCTCATATATTTCAAAGTAAGAATTACAGTCTTTCCTTTTCTTTCTTTTTGTAGACCTCATGTGGAGCTATTCATATAGGGTTTTGGACCTTTAAAATAGTAATTTGTAATTATAAACTTATGAATAATATTTTTTTTTCTTTCAGTCAGTGTAGCTAATGTAACATGAGGACTGTATATGGTCCTAGATGGCTTTTGCCTAATATTTCTCACTCGTTTCACTTATGCAGTTAGTTTTTTCCTCTGGTATTATTACTTTCCATGTGGTTCCTTATATTCTTGAATCTGACTTCACACAGATGTTGCCCTGCATATTTTAATTAAATAGAATAAATATTCAGGACACGAGTACACTGCACTGAGATCCTCTTAAAACCATAGCCTGCTTTGATGAAGTTACATATTTCCTTTACCTATTTATGCCTGCAGATTTCTATGTTAATTTTTTAAAATTTAGATAAAAATGCATATTTAAAAGTTAAATATAATACCTCTTGATGGTTCTCACAGAGCATATAAAAGCCCTTAAATTCCATTGAGAATTTCATAATACCCAAAGAAGATGAAGTCTGCCATTAAGCAGAAGAGAAAGGTTCATACTGGGTAAGCAGATAGTCTGCAAAAACATGAGACTTACTGAATATGACTACAGTATCAGAGATTACACAATCATAGCAGAACCCCAGGTATCACTTCCTGAAGTCTACAAAATCAACCCCTGATCTATCGCATGGATTGTCTATCTTAGGAAAAAAAAGTAGAATATGATCTAAATGTTTGGGAAAATTAAAGCCCAAGAAGGTATTAGTTTTTTTGCTTCACAATACCTCCTTATGCTGTTTTAGGGAAAGCTGCCATCTGGTGCTACAGTTTTCCATAGCTTTTCCCAAGGCTTTGTCTCTGCTGTCCTCTGGTGCTCAAGAATTTTGCAGCAGAGTTAAAGTGAATGCTGGCAGCTTTAACAAATGAGCACTGCTGTGCTTTGGTCAAATGGGTTATTTCACAGAGTTTAAATCCTTCACAATTTAATAAATTTACTGATTCTGAGATACCCCTTAGATCTCACTGGAGTTGGTGAGTTGTAGATGTTTTTAGGATAACGCTCTTTCGGTACCTGGATTTCTGGTTTAGCTCATGAATGCTGATTTCCTGTTTGCTTATTGCTTTCTTATTGATAATGATGTTGTAATTTTATCTTGTTATAATTATTTTTGAATTAAATCTATCAAGCAACACTAACCTCTCCCCTCCTCCATGCTACAGATGGGGAATTGCTCTGAGATGGCCGAGGATTAATTTGACCTGATGTCCTGACTGTTAATTATATCACAGTACTAACAAACTGAAAAGCCTCCCCACTAGAAACATACAGAAATAACCTAACTGACTGTGTTAACAGAATAGCTGCAATGCCAAATGTGAACAAATGTGTTTTCCCTTGGAGCGGGAAGCAGTAGGGTGGGAATGACTCAAGACACTGTTCTGTGTGGGCGGCATCTCTTTCTCTAATACACAATTTTGTCCATGATTCACCATGAGTCATGCGAGGTAAGCCTGACAGCAGCTCAACTACGTTGTAAAGTACAGTACAACTGCATCATTTTAGCCGGAGGGGATTGATGTGTGCACAGTATTTCATGGAGATTTTTCTAATCAGGGTTCTGGTTTGGTGTTTGTTTGCTTATTTATTTATTTATTTATTTATCTATCTATTTATTTATTCCTTTCCTCCAGATTTTGGTTTATGCAATTAAGGACTGTTCACCACTTACTGATAGGGAGCCAGGACAGTCTGGGATTGTGCATTTTTGCATTAATATATGCTAAAGATCCCATAATATATTATTTGTAATTAAATAACAGGAATTTCAGTCCTGCTAGAATGATCATAGGATCCTCAAATTTTATTCTTAGTGAAATCTAAATGCTACATGTTATGGTTTAGATCCAGTCAGTAGCTAAGCACAATGCAGCAACTTGCTCATGCCGTCCTTCCTTCCCCCAGGCAGGATGGGGAGGAGAATCAAAAGCATGTAGACCCCATGTGCTAAGACACAGCCGAAACCAGGACATACATATAAGCTTACTCCATATCCACACAGAACTAGTGCGGAAACAGTACATAGTTGGGTATATACATACACACACACCTCTACACACCCTATTGTATCTTAAGCTTTATAAGGACATGCTGCCTCTAGGATTACTGTTCTCTTCCTTGAAATACTGGTAGGGGAAAAGGCTTAATGCCTTTGAGTTATAGGTGTGCAAAATTGGATTTTGCATGTGTTCAGTGGTTTTTTTTTAAGCCTCAGAAGAGCAGGGCTAAAGTACTAAGCTAAGAGCTCAGTCCTGGCTGCTGAGCATGGCAAATGGTATGAAGAGTGCCAAGGCAGTTGTATGGTGGCGGTATGGGAGGTTTCCAAAACCCCTGGAGAAACAGAGGGAGATCCCTCCCTATAGACAGTGCCAGTACTTCTGCCTCATGGCCACTGGCAGTGTCTGCTGCTGCTGCTGTATTCCAGATGAGCTGAAGGGTGTTTTGCTGCTGGCCTGTGAGATGCTGTGAGCACCATCCTCCAACAGCGTGGGTGAGATGGGCCAGGGGCTCAAGGACACTAGTCTTCAACCCTTCATATACTAAGAACTGTATTTTTAATGACGTAAGATTTGGTTAGTCCTTGTCATGGAAAAAAAGCCATACATACATATGACAGATGAGATAATGTGAGCCCAGAGGCTACAAAACTAGCTTTGCTGCTACCGAAAAGTCAAAACTCAAGTGTAAACTTCCTATTCAATGTGAAAAATTAGAACAAAATGAGAAAAACAACAACTGAAACATCTTCTAAAGGACTTAGATGAGTTATTCTGTGTTCAGAAACAAGACTGTTTACTAGGGAACTCCAATATCCAAACAATAAGGCACTGAATAGGGATAATGATGCTCCTGTTCATGGCTTCCAGAATCACTGTTATTTTGGGAGAAAGGTAGACTGCGGTGTTTTTGACTGACTTAAAATTCAGCAACTAATTAAGGACATGACCAGGCCTGTACAAATACAAAATGTATCTGGCAAATAGGTTTAGTGACCTTCTACTCCTGAATGTCTAATGTTCAGGATTAATGACTGGCAGCTCCAAGAATAAATTATGGATAATTCCTTGGTGCTGAGGGAACACTGATGACAGCAGTATTCAAGCATGCTCCAGCTGGAGACCAGTAACAAGCAGTGTCCCTCAGGGATCGGTTTTGGGACTGGTCTTGTTCAACATCTTTGTCACTGACATGGACAGTGGGATTGAGTGCACCCTCAGCAAGTTTGCCGATGACACCAAGCTGTGTGGTTTGGTTGATACTGGAGGGAAGGAATGCCATCCAGAGGGACCTTGACAGGCTTGTGAGGTGGGCTGATGCCAACCTCATGAAGTTTAACCATGCCAAGTGCAAGGTCCTACACCAGGGTCAGAGCAATCCCAGGCACAGCTACAGGTTGGGCAGAGAAGAGATTTAGAGCAGCCCTGTGGAGAAGGACGTGGGGGTGTTGGTTGATGAGAAAATGAACATGAGCCAGCTCCAGTATGTACTCGCAGCCCAGAAAGCCAGCCGTGGGCTGCATCAAAAGGAGCATGACCAGCAGGTCGAAGGAGGTGATCCTGCCCCTTTATTCTGCTCTCGTGAGACCTCACTTGGAGTATTGTGTACAGTTCTGGTGTCCTCAACATAAAAAGGACATGGAACTGTTGGAACAAGTCCAGAGGAGGGCCACAAGGATGATCAGGTAACTGGAGCACCTCCTGTATGAAGATCGGCTGAGAAAGTTGGGGCTGTTCAGCCTGGAGAGGAGAAGGCTGTATGGAGACCTCATAGCAGTCTTCCAGTATCTGAAAGGGGCCTATAGGGATGCTGGGGAGGGACTGTTCATTACGGACTGTAGTGATAGGACAAGGGGTAATGGGTTAAAACTTAAACAGGGGAAGTTTAGATTGGATATAAGGAAGAAGCTCTTTACTGTGAGGGTGGTGAGGCACTGGAATAGGTTGCCGAGGGAAGTTGTGAATGCTCCATCCCTGGCAGTGTTCAAGGCCCCATTGGACAGAGCCTTGGGTGACATGATTCTGTGTGAGGTGTCCCTGCCCATGGCAGGGGGATTGGAACTAGATGATCTTAAGGTCCTTTCCAACCCTAAGTATTCTACGATTCTGTATTTCTGTGGGTAGTTGTTGTAAGGGAAGTCTGTTGCCTAGCATCTAGGTGTTAAAGAAATGTGTGCCCATATCTGTTATGAAGTCAAAAGCAGGTGCGAGTAACAAGTAGTTTGCAATGAATAAACATTACATCTTTATAGTATATCCAAATGTTCAGCTACCCACCAGATCATTTGAGAGGAGCATAAAACAAACACATACTTGCTTGAAAACCCACCCCTACAGAGACTTACTTCACTGTTGCTACAGTCTCTGTGATCATGTTATTCTGCACAAATGAGGTGTAAACCAGCACAAAAATCGTTGTGGCCCTGCACCTCATCTACTCTCTGTAAGTGCAGAGGGAGAAACTATCTCTTTTGGCCTATCAGTAACCACCTAGGCTTAGCAGGGCACACAAGACTTCATAAGCAATGAACAGACCTTGACTAGATCTGATCTCCTTACTCAGCAGTAGTTAAAAAAGAATCGCATATGGGCATAATATTATAGGAATACAAAGACTTGAGAAGTATTCTATGGGAATGATCAGAAACAGTTAGGCAGATTTTTTGGATCATACATAATTTGCCAGAAATGGACTCTGACCAAAAAGAGCTTTAGTTCAACTTTGTTTAAGTTTTAAGCTGAACAAAGCTCAGAAACCTAAACCATGGAAAAAATTTATAAATATTTTAAACAAACATGTGCCATTGAAGTAAATGAATAAAATAAACTGAAGTAATAATTTTTAAAATAAACTATTTGTTTGTCCTGAAAGGAAAAAAATATGAAGAAAAATTGGTAGGTCATTCTCTATACGATAGTTGCAAACATTTAGGCTGAGTGATTGATCTATTGTCCCAGAGTTCAGCAACTGATCAAACATTTGTGATTATCATATCCCAATCAATTATTAATGTTAATAAACTATGAATATGATAAATTTAAGTGTGTCTAAAGGGAAACTTCACAGAGGAACTTTCCAAAGAGTCTTACAGGCATCATCTTATCAGTGGAGAAGAGACCCAACCTAACTTATGCCAGACCATTTGACTAAGGCTGGAACAATGCATAACTTCAGTCTGAAATCCTTTTCTTCTATCTAAAACATGTCAGGTAGGAATACTCTCCCTGACATGGTACCTGAAGGTGACTAAATATAACTGGCAATGGCATCTAACCACAGAAATATGTGCAAAGGGTTCTTTGCTAGCAACAAATCATCTCTCCTTACCACTGAAGGGCACTTGGGTGAAGAAGCTGTGCAGTCCAAAAGTCCAGTGCAGATTACAAAGAGAAATATTAAGTCAGCAGTAGTGTGCCAAAGATATTGTTTCTAAACTTGCTGGTCTCCATAGAAACAGTTCTTATTTTACAGAAAAGGCTGTAAGTGTCTGAAACTTCACTAGAATGATGCATCAAATTTGAAAGAGCTAAGGGCAGAGTCAATGACAGGGAAGAGCAATAGGACTGTCAGCACATGGAAGGAAGACAGGAAAAAGCTCATCTGGAAAAGCAGATCCAGTTCACACACCGCTTCCTTGTAGCAGAAGTCAGAAGGTATATAGGAAACACAGCATTGTAGACAAGAAACCAGGAGCTGGGATAATTGCAGAAAGATGGAAATTGCTTCCTTCCCAAATTTCTCCCCATTGCCAAGAAAAAGGCAGCTTGCAAAGTGCTTATTTGATTTGAATAGGCACTTCATAATTGGATCAGAAGCCAGAGATAGTAAACTGCAATTAGTAGCTAATGAGCAGAGAATGGCCCATTGCTACTGTTCTGGCTTCTGGTCCTTCCCAACAGCCAGGTTCTTGCCTGCAAATGAGTCCTGTAGGTGGGTCTTGTGGGCTGCTCCTTCGGCTTGCCTGCATATTGGGTCCTGTAGGCAGGTCCTTCTGCCTGCCTGCAGACGGGGTCCTGTGGGCAGCTCCTGCTGTTTGCCTGTGGGAAACAGTCTAGGTTTTTGGTTTTTTTTTTTTTTACTTAAAAAAAAAAAAAAATCAACCAGGAAAATCTCTTTTTGTTCCATGCCTCTATCCTGATGTTAACCAACCGGGGTTGAGTTCTAAGGCTTTCAAAGACACCACGAACCAAACTAAGCTAAGGCAGGTCTGATGATGGCTCATATAACTGCCCAAATTAGAAAGTGTCAATTGAGCCTGAGATCAAGAGACTAGAAGTTGACTTGTATAGTTTTCAGAACTTTAGCTATTTGATTCTTTTTGTGGTGCAAATTATTCCTCTAAGCCTATGTTACTAATACAGCCAAGTCTTCCCTTTCACAATTCTGCTGAGCTGCAGAAGCTGCTATTAAGGGATGATCTGTCTAGCTGCTCAAAATGTCTTCAGTGGATTAAAAAATTCATGGGTGTAAGTATAAGAGGCAACGAACATAAATTCATAAAGAATTTTAAAACATGTTTTCATTCTTTTCTTGCCTGTTTACACACTTACTTGTCCTCCAATGAAGTTAATCAAAAGAAAAAAAAATAAATTTCTAGCTTCTACGAATCTTTGGACGTTTCCACCCAAAGGAAGACTTAGCAGTATTCTTGTCTACCAGAGAGGCCCACTCATCTATCGTAGCTGAGTTCTTTCAATTCTGAAATCTCATTAATTCATACAATGCAGTATCAAATTGTATCGAAGTATGAGGATATTACATCACAGCATGATGCTTCAGCATCACAATGCACTTCTGCAACATCGAGGCACAATGAGGCCATCTTGCCTGGTTTTAGTCTCACAGAAGAGAAGGGAGTGTGAAGAGTGGTATCCTATCATCTGCCAAATTTAGCCATCAGATAGCCTGCAACACCCGCAGAGGTGGGAATATCAAACTGACAGCACTGAGGCTGGTGACTTATTGTTGACACTTACGGTGAGTTCCATGTCCTCCTCCTCTTTTTCTTTCACTGGTTTCTCTGGTTCCTCTGGCTCCTTCTCTTGGAGATGGATCTCATTGGCTTGGGTCATGTAAGGCATATCATCTTTGTTCTTGAACTCCAAGCTGAGGATTGAAGGAGGAAGTAGAATTCCTAGAATTACCTAAAGCAATAATAATGATAACAATAATCATCACAGCAAACAAATTACAATCATTATAGTTAGCATCAAAAGGAACAACCCCCTCAGGACATTTAGGAAAAGGAAGATATGTATGCATGTGAGTTTCTATGATACAGTTTATCAGTTGCGGTAAAGTTATCAGAAGTCCACAGTGAAACAAAGCCTGTGACTTCTCCTAGCATGGCTGTGCATGCTATGGCAAATTGCCTCTTTTGAATACTTCTTTTATTTGCTTCCTCATCTGATGCATATTATCATATACCGGAATATATTTACAAAATATTACATACAGTCAGTTGTAGGTGGGACCATGGGGATGTTCAGACCTTGGACCTGAAAATTTCCGCATTTTACATAATAGACAATATTGGTGTAAATGACACAGAAGCATTATTAATTTCTACAGAGTGTGTTAATAGGTCTCAAGGTCTCTATGTCCATATACTTAATTCACATAGACAGTCAAGGTTTAAGCATGTGTGGATCTGAGGAGATAAGGAAAAGCCAGCAATAGCACATGCTGATGTGCTTAGCTATGCAGTCCTCTTAGATTCTGCTTCAGTAACCTAGCAGATGTGTAATGCTCTTGTTAATGCCAGCTCATGCTTTTCTGCCTTTCCTCTCTCATGATGTGGGAGTAAAGAAACCATTGTTACCTTGAGTGGATATATACAATGAATGATGCTTGGAGTTAAAACAGTAGCATAACTGAAGAGATATGATAATAATATAAAAAGAAGTGGCTTGTCTGTATTCACAAGCACAGTAGCTTTCCCTGGTTTTGCCTGTAATCTCATGGAAAATTATTTTGTTATAAATCTCTCCTAAATGACAAGTGAAACCATGTAGTTAGCTTGTTGGCAGGTCAGAGACAATGACTGCTTGTGCTCATCATATCAACAGACAGCATGTGTGGTGTTGTAACCATCCGATTAAGATTCTGTAATTAGGAGCAGTTAGCGTATATGAATGCTGTGCCCTACCTTGGAAGAGCTGCCTGAACTGCTCCTGAACTTGGCTTGTCACAAAAGGGTGAGGTGGCCACAGGCAGACCTGGCTTCCCAGAGAGGCTATTTTTAAGAACAGGCTGGATTAGCAATTGCCTCTCCCCCTCCCACTGGTACTATATATCCCCAGTGAGACTCCTAAAGAATCACATTAATCCATTTGCCAGTTTCAACAAGAGAAAATTGTCTATGGGAAATAATTCATTACTCATGCTTGCAAATTTATTCGCCATGCTGCCTCTTGCTCATATAGCTTGTAGACTGCTTTAGCTTTAAACAGGCCCTGCTAATGAACTTCAGTGAAAACAGAAGCTAAAAGCTGAGTAAGGGACCCCTGTGAAGCCCTGATGTTACAAGAAGCTGAATAGAATCTGTTACCTTCAGTCATTCTTTGTGAAAGAAAGGTCTATATTTTATGGTTTAAAAGATTCATGCTGCAAAGAAGAAAGCACGCAGTGGGAAATGTATTGCTGCACTAATCCCCATCTACCCAAACTGAGTATCTGCAAAGCCAAGCACTGAACAAAGAAGCAGTCCCCCTGAAGGGCAATGGGCCCATGGGTCAAGTCAGAAAAACAGGCAGTAAAGATGTCTCCAAATGTGAGAATGCCTTCTGTCAGTAAGCAGAACAATATTTATACACAGTTCTGCAAGAGTATGATGAGAATGCTATCAGCCACTTATTCACTACTCCCATCGGATTAGACCTAGTACAACGACAGTGAATGTATCCATAAGCATTCTCATCATTACTGAACATCTTTTCACAGTGCAAGACAGCTGAGCAGTTACCACTTTTTACACACTCAGTTAATGCAGGAGAGAGAACCACTTGATGAAAATATTTCTCAGTCATCTGGGAGGAAAAGGCATGTCCTGGTTATGTACTGACTGGTGAGTATGTTGGTGAAGGTGAAAGATACTAGGCTTTGGACACAAATTTGTCTTTCAGAATTTACCTTACTCTGTTAGCAGTTTTGCTACCTGTAGAAGTAAAACTTAAACAGCTTTGAAAATTGAATTAGCCTCTAGATATTATAAGGTAGTTCCTTCAGGTCAGTCATTAGAAAGACTGGCAGGGGATTGAAAGAAAATTTGTACTGGTTGCTTTGGCCTGTTCTGGAGAAGGCTGTCAGATCAGCACCTTTCACTAATGGTTAATTCAGTTACACATCCTTCTTCTTTATATATCTTTAAAATCCTTGGCTAACTCCTCAAGTCACCAGGCAGGGTGACATACTAAACTCCGTGGCTCAATTCTTCCGATAGCTCTCACTGATACTAGAGAAGGCTCTGAAGATTACCTTGTTACCATCTATGAGAACTCCACTGACTGTTATTTTTATTTTAAAACAGTACTGACCTTTAGGCCAGAATTTTTGCGCATCCGGAGACGACCCATCCACATGTCTGTGAGCAGCATCTGGCTGCAAGTGTGAGCAATGAAGTCCCTGTGCTTGGCTGCCACTGCGAGCTGCAGGCATGTGGCGTTGCTCCAGTTCTTCAGCTCGTAGGTCAGCAATTTCATTGCCAGTTGCTCATCCTGCTTGTATGACTGGTCCAACAGCTCCACTGCCAACTGGCCGAAGTCCCTGCAACAGAGGGATATTTATTCACTCCCATTAACCCAAGCAGCCTGCTGCAGAAAATATCACTCTGCAACTGACAGCCTCTGCAAGGGAGGCATCACCTTCCATCATGAAAATCGTGATGTTGACTGTACACATGGAAACCCACATTTCCGAACGTGAGTGGTTAATGACAGGCATATAAATAAGTGCCCTGACATAGCAGTGGTGAGCACCCACACCTACCAGCTGTTTGCTCCCACCTGCCTGCCCACCTCCCTGACATTTCCTACTTGAAATCCTCTGGTTATCTGCAGCTTACAGAATTGCTTCTGTACTACTTGCCCATGACTAAGTGGTCAAGTCTCCTGGAAAAAGGAGTGTCCAATACCCTTTTCTAAATTCTGTGTCTCAGACCTTTAACATCCGGAAAGTTTACTATGGAATCTAGTATCTTGGCTTGCTCACCTAAGCATGACCTCTTGGTTAATTAACACTTCTGCCCAGTATTACATTCATTAGGATTTCAATAATTGTTCTGCCTGGGATGAACAGAGTATTGAAAAAGCACAGAGAAAGGTTGCAACCTGACTCTTGGAGCCTCAGAAAGAACACATAGACAAAACAGGTATTTCACTGTCTTCTCATTTCAGTACTTATACTGGTAGCAACCCTGCCTCTCTGTCTCACAGGCTGTTTAAAAGCCATTTAGATTTCCTCTAAAGGGACTGTGTTTTTCCTAAATTAGGAATGAAAGCAAGGTACAGATAAGCAAATTGCAGGCATGGTCAGCAGCCTCTCTCCCTCTCCTACCCCCCTCACACCACACCACAACACACCCCTTTCCTATTTTTTTTTAACCCAGGAAAGTGTACATGAAAGAAAATTCACCTGGAATTACGGTTCAGCTCTTGGGATATGTCATCCACCATGTCATTTTCTGATGCTTCGTGGGCCATAGCTTTGCAGAGTTTGCAGGCCACTAGTGCTTTAGCCATAGCCTCTTCCCCATGCTGCCAGAAAAAGAGGGCCATCTTCTGACGCTTCATCAGTACAGCCCACACCATCAGCTCATGGAATGGGAAGGGGAAATGGTTGATCTCAGGGTCATCCAAATCAATATCTACTTCTTCTTCTCTTTTTTTGGTTGTTTTTCTCCCTCGCCGCAAAGGGACATCATCCTGTGAGAATTATGGAGAAATTTTTTCACGAGTGAAAAAACCGAACCAATTCACACAGTGTATTGGAGTCAGTACCTGAGATGTCAAACATACTCCCTGCAGGCCAGCCCCTTCATTTCTTTGGACAAAATATTTAAAACAGGAAAATAATAAAAAAAAGTATTGGTCCATGCACTGTAATTGAGAAGTCAGTAACCTCACACCTAAGTGAAAAATAGCTTTGGACTATCACTGAACTATTCTATCTTCCTAAGCACACAGACCACAGTCACACAATACCCAGAGCCATTCTGGAAAAGCGATCATTAAAATAAAGCTAAGAAGGTACTCTAAAAATAACATCTGTTGCAATGCATCCGCTTCGTTCCACCTCCAGAAAGTACACATCCAGGGGATGTTATGGTCTCCTGAAGACTTCCTCCCTGCTTATTCTTGTGTTTTCTCCCTTTATCTTCTTAAAAGTTCTTATAGGAATGGGAATCTCCTTTCACCATTCCATCCTGCCATTGTACTGCATTTTTACCCCTCTTTCTCCATCACTTAGTTCTTTCTACTACCTTTAGTTTTTTTCCCATTTTAGCCTATTGCTTTTACCAGATAAGCTGACCTATTCTGTGCTGCATCTGTGGACAGGAAAATGAAAGCTGTTGCATAAAATAAATAAATAAGAAAACATGCTATCTCCTTGAAGCACGGTGGTAGCCAAAACTGTCAACAAAACTAATAGAAAATTTGCCCATGTAAAGATTTCTGCATCACTCTCCACAACTGCTTTGTTTCTCTGAACACGTTTCAAAGGTATGTAGTTATCTGACTGGAATTCTGCTTGGCCTGACAGACTGAAACATTTTGTTTAATCTTCATGACAAGAAAAATGATCCATGGAGGGAGAAGAGCATTCTTTTCTGCTGTCTATCCGCTGGAGTTTTATTAAGAAATGTTTCTTAATCTGACCCTTCCGTAAAAAAGTTATCTGGATGAAAAATACAATCTGCGTGGCACATTTCTCATACAAAACTTGAAAACAACTCTTGGTGCCTTCATTACAGTGAATTTAAACATTATCTTGATATAGTGTACATTTGTCAAAGAAGGAAAAGACATTAAGATTTATCACAGGTCGCCTACCTCCATTCCCAACAGTTTCAGGGCTTTTGGCTGTACAAAAAAGTTAGAAAAATGTTATTTCTCCCAGAAGGGTGATGAAAAATTACAACTATGTGCGTATACATACATACATACATACATGCATGTGTAACGTGATGTATAATACAGAGTATATAATAGGTAATGTATAATATAGGTGATACATACATAATGCAATGTAATATACATATATACATAAATCAAATAATTATATATATATATTTAATTCAACCTTGAGTTTCATCCTATTTCACCAAAACACACAATAGAAGACATACATTTTAGTTCAGGTACAGTGTGGAAAAGAGGTAGGAATTACTGCTAATGCATGAATGCATTCCTCTGGATTATATCATTGTTTTGGCCATTCCCATGGCACACTTTTGTTGACTGCTGTGGAGCTCCTCCATATGCTGGTTAGAGATCTGTGAAATTGTTACTCAAATGCTTTTCTTGACGGAGTGACTAAAGGGAGGATGTCTCTCCCAGCAGCTACAATTACTACCTTTCCTCTCAAAAGCGAGGAATGTGTAGGGAAACAAACCAACCATTTCAGGTGTTTGGATCTAATTGTTTCACAGAGCTGTTGCTCTTTATAGCCATTCAGAACAATACTCAATGGTGTGCATTTCTAAAATCTGAACTGAGACAGGAAATGGAAATGTGAGGTAAAAGTAGGCAAAGAAAGAAGTACAAATCTTACTGGGAGTTGTCAAGCAGATTTTTATTCATGCTGATTGGGTCCGTGGCATTATGGATGACAATAAATATATTTCTGTCTTATAACGGTAGCAAACTTACTTTGGATTCACAGTATTGTAATTTATCAAACATGGAAACCACAAAAATACCAGAGGGTTTGTTTGCCTGGAGCCCAGTGACTCTGCTGGAGCCACATCCAGCCAATAAAGCCAATTCTGATTTACGTGTTTCTTTGCCCTGATACCTTCAGGTCACAGTCAAGAAGAGGAGCCATGGGATAGGAAATGCATCTATCAAAACACAAGTTTTTCAAGTTTAACTTAATTGCCTTGAGGTGTAATTTGACTTGCCTTTCGAAAGCTGTGGTTACTCATAATTGCAGGTTTAGAGCCCAAAGAGACTGTTTTATGTCCTAATCACACCAGGGCAGCAGAACCTAATAATTTTTTCACTAAATTTATAAGAAAACGTCTCTTGTATCAGTGGCTGCTTTTCAGCGTGCTGTGGTGAAACAGCTTCTATGTACATAATGGAAATGAATCTGTACACTGAATGCGTGTACACGTATGTTCCCCCAGCCCAGAACTAAGAAGCTACAGTAAATCCTGCCAGTGGGTTCAGTCATACAGGTGGCAAATAACTTGCTCCTTACCCTCTTGGGCCCAAATAAATTGTGGTACAGTGTTCTGAAACGCTTTCGGGTGTAATTGCAGCGATACGCTCCTCCCATCAGGTATTCTATCACCAAACCAATATCAATCAGACTTATCCGGTAATCAGGAGGTAAGTTTCCCTGCAATGAAAATAAGAAGGATGGTTGGGGAAGAGTAAATGCTTATTATTGCTGTTGTTAAATATACTTCAGAATTATGTCAGAATAAAACAAAAAACAGGAACATATTATTATGCTGGTTAATTAATTCACCTTAAAATAGATCCAACCGAAACCTGGATATTCTCGCTTGGAAAGAAGACACAGGTTAAATAAGATGAAGAACTTGTTGGAAGTAACAGAAGACAATGTCAGTACACAGTACTCATATTCTTCAGCTGGGGAAACAAGGAACATGACTGCAGAACAAAAAGCATGAGGATCAGCACACTTGAAAGGTCAGGCACAGTTACTCGACTCTAGTCCTGCAAGATAGCACCTTTTGTGCACCATCTGTACCCCAGAACTCTTCCCTGGCATCTCATGTCTCTGCTGGCACCTCTTTAGACTGCCTTCCCTGTACTGCCAAGGCATGGTGAAGTGACTCATGCAATATGATTTGTTCAATGGAATCAGTTGCTGCGTGTGATCTTCCCATCCTGTCAGCGTTTCCTTCCCATGTTCCAGGAAAGGAAGGGCAGAGGGAAAGGGCTGTATTATCTACTCTAGAGAAGTTACACAGGGCATGAGTTATTATTATTGCTTGTTGCTAGAGACAAGGAGAGTCTGCTAGCATTTTTTCTACAAATAAATACATATTTTTGCTTAAATTTCACATCTTGTATGAGGAAATCTGTATATATGAAAGTAAATATGAAAATAGTAATAAACAAAATACTTGTGGCTAATTCTTTGGGGTTTTGTTCAAGAACTATGGGTCTAGCAATTTTCCTAGATTATTCCTCCTTGAAGTCCCAACATATTACTGAAAACCACCCTAAACACAGTAATCTTGCTACCTAATTTCCAGCAGTGCCAAGGAGATTGTCTCCCAGAAGACGAAGTGTCCTGTCATTAGTAGGATCCTGGAAAAGTCATCTACATACTTGTTCTTCCGTTTCTCTTCCTTTCTTATCATGATGTTAAATATTACATATATGTGTGTGTATGTATATATATACACACACAATGTCCTCAGCATGCACCTTTTATTTTCAAGGGAAAGAATGATAAATATGTCCATGTCTTATTGCCCTCACATTGTGAACATCCTTGCACGTATCTTCCTCCTCTCCACTGTCAAGCCTGAAAACAGCAACCGTAAGGCTGTGAGTCCTCCAATACTTACAGCTTGCAAAATTTTGAAGAAAGCTCTGAGTGACAGATTGTCTTTTACTGCATACAAATCTGAGTCTGCCTTTGAGTTAACTGGGCATTTCTATTCTCCAGAAGCAGTAAGCTTCTGAGACACCTAGCAGGCCAGAACAACTTCAGGTCGGTCTGGTCTCATGGATGTTCTGGTCAAGTGCTCTTAGGGGATCTCTGGTGGTGGAAGAACAAAACCCCAGTGTGGGTACATCTGCTCTTCTGTTCCCTGCCTTGGGAGCTCCACAATGACAACTCTGCTTTACAGGAGGAAAGGGATAATGGGAAGGGAATGCCCTGAAATCGAAGTTTACCTCCTTCTCTACACCACTGCCTCTGAATTGTTTGGATGACCAGTATGGTTCAATCATCAGTTCCCTACCAGAAAAGAAAGTGTGATTTGGCAAACTCTGAATAGGTCACCTAGATGTAGAGTTGTCATTAAGAACCCTGTAGATTTACAGGATCTTTCTCTGTACTGTATGTTGTACAAGAGATGTGACTAGAAATTAAAGGTGGAAAGTGAGGTAAATAAGACTTCTGTGAACCGCAAGCAGTAGCCTTAGAAAAAGAGAAGATTACTCTAGTAAAAAATTAGCTTGTATAGCCAACATTGCAGAAGGACTAGGAAATTGTAATTGTTAGCTTTAAACTTTTTCAGTGCACTATAATAAAATAATCACATTTCCTATAATGATATACAGTACACCTTACAGTTAGCCTGTAGCTCTTTTTATGTGGTCATCAAAAGGTTAGTTATTAGCACAGAGCAATTTTATGACTGTCATGTCTTGCTGGAAATATCTGCATATTTGGAGATATCTGCCTGGCTTCTCTGCAGATGTGCTTATTAGATTCAGAATAGAGAAACATTAATGGAAAGCAGATGGCAACTGGTTCTGCAGAAGAGATGAAGTGGATGCAAAGATCTTCCTTCGTACTGTACTTGAGCCAGGAAGAGCAATGATTGTTTTCCTCCCTGCTCACTACAGTACAAAGGGCACACTGAAAGGCTGAGGAAGGTGAGAGGAAGGTAGTGCTATGGTCTACCATGCCTAGCAATGGGCTGGGATTCAAAGGGACAAAAGATCAAACTAATTTAGTGACAAAAGATGACCTGCCAACTGTCTTTCAGCAATATCCCTTAGCATACACTTTTGCATTTGTCCTACTTTTTGGCTAATCTGGTGGATAGGATTTACAGGAATGCATATTAGTTTATTTGAATGCTGTCATTTTTATTTTTGAACTGTTTAAGGAAAAATAATGTAAATCTAAAGATGAAATTGCTATGTTTTTGTTTGTTTTTTCCCTATTCTTCTCTTTCCATATTGCTTAAGGCACTGACAGTTTTAGTAGAACAAGGGCGATGGCACTGCTAGAAGTGGGAGTTGTAGCTCCAAAAGAGTGTTGTAGTTCTTCAACAGACTCCTTCTGTCTTAATGTAAGACACTAAAACTGAATTCATTGATATTATTAAGTGGCAAAAAATACTTGAACAATTAAGAGAGAACAGCAGGCATCAGCATTTGTTAGCTTCTTGATAAAGTTTTGATTTCTAAAATTTCATAAACGGACTTAGATAAAAAAATTTCCAATATAGCAACTTAAATAAAAGCTGCATCTAAACCTCCCACTATAATATTGAAAGATTTTCCTAAAAACCCTCACAAATTCACAGCAGAAATACACATTATAGACATGCATATGAATGGCTCCATGCTAACACACAATTACTTTTCCAAAGTGAGCAGTCTAGTAAAGCTAATTGGACCACCCTTGTGTGAGGAGTTATGCATGTGCCAAAGCACTTGCTGTATCAGCAGACACCTCAAATTACCCTGGCAGCGGTGAGTCTGCTTGTAAATGAGGTGCAGCAGTGCAAGTAGGCCAGAACCACTGCGAGAAGTAAAAAATTTGGATGGGCTAATTCTAGTACAGCTAAGGTGATGGAATGACAGAGAAGGTTTGATTTTTGAGTATGATAGGTACCCTGGTGAATAACCAACTAACCTTCTGTGTTTGGACAAGCTCTTCAGTGCTAATGCATTGTTCTTTTCCTGAAGAAAATTCAACTTTAAGCTGCAGCTAACCAATTACAGTATTTTTTCACCTGAAGTGCATTTTCATATTCAGCGGGTATCAAGCCTCTCATTTTGCATTCTGAGGAAAAAAGAGTACTTTCAAAATTCGCTATATTGCTTGTTAGTTCTCTGGAAATGTATCCAGACAGTGGCAGTCCAAACTAAACTTTGAAAACTTGCATCAGCCCAGGTGGTATTAAGATATATTGATTGTATACAATTCTTGGATTAAAGAAAAGATGTATCTGTTAATTTCTACTGATCATCTGCCAGATGAGCTAGGGTGGGAAGGATTTTTTAAAAACAACCCGTAGAGGGCAACCTTCACTTACAGACAGGATGTCGAACACGGTCAGGTTTTCTTCCTGCTTAGTCTGGGTATATTGGTTTGTACCGTCTAGTGAAGAGAGTTAACCTGTGTTAAGCTCTGTACCCTTGAAAGAGGTGGTCAAAAAGGCCATGATGCAAACGGTGCAGGCAGACTGTCTCCGTATGTAGTTATGGAACAGAGAGGATCTAAAAGAGATATGAGCACAGCTGTCTCTAAAGCAACTAAATTTACAGTCTAAAGCTGTAAATTTTTTAAGACTATGTCTCCAGGCCTTCATAATATGCTGCCCAGGCTAACAGTCTTCACAGCAATACTTGGCTATCCAAAGAGAAAATAAATTGTTGTCTTACATGTTTTTTGTGTGTGCCTGTGTGCATGCACACATATGTGTCTATGAGCTGCCACAAACAGGATGTGGTGACTCCTGAGGTTCAATTTTTTTCTTTATTAAGCAGGCAGGGCAGTTTTCCAACAAACAAAAAAATTCCTAGTGGTTTATATGACTATGTAATACAATAGTAGTAAATTAAATAGTGCTTCTATAATTTGTAAGCATGCATTTTCTATTTAAGAATTCACACTTATGCAGACATTGTTATTTTTTTGTAGCATATGACCTTTTATAAAGTGCAGGTTTTAAAACTGGGTTGTATGCATATAAAGCACAGAGTGTGCATATTCATGAAGTGTTGTCTCAAGGAGACACATCACATTTTTGTATTTATATTTTGTGATACTGTAATTAGACCAGAGAGGTTGGGTAACTGGCATCAAAATAGATATAAACTGAAAAAGCTAGCAGCAGTAGGTGTTCTGGTTTTCATGCATGGTGGGACATGCGGTGATGTCCATTAAGAAGTTATTTCCAAGGAAGTATTTTCTTTTAAACTGTTGTTAGACCTACTGACTGATTTACAGCTTGGCTGCCTGGTAAGGAATCTGCTCAGGTATCAGGGCTATGGTGCTGTCACTTTTCTCTGACTGAACTGTGATTGTTTCTCAGCCAGTGACAAAATGAGAAATACAGGCCCAGAGGTGAATTTTTCTGATGAAGGTCCTAGAGGGCTGCACCCAGCTGTTTTTAAAGCTCTCAATTATTTTCCCATGAGAGTGCACATTGACTTCATGCACTGGCGATTACTGGAGACTTCACATATGAAAGAGGAAAGAAAGATGAATTTATGGAAAAATGACCAGCATCAAACATTTAGCAATCACCATGGAATAAATAATGTCATTGAACATAGCACAGGTTTATTGCCAATGTCTGTCAGTATATTCCTATGAGTTCCGATAATCTTTGCTTATTTTGATGCCTTTTTTTCAAGAGCTCCTTTAAAAACCTCTGCTAGGGACTCAGAAAAAGATATTATTTAGTTACCCCACATAACACATTGCTATGCCTTTGAAGGAGGACTTGGAAAGGTGATGCTGAGAGAGACAAAGATTTTGAAAAATATGTTTTAAAGTAAGAAGACAAATAATGCTTGTTTCAGACTCTTGAAGGCACATAACTGACTGCATATTTAGTAAGAAAAAATATTCTGGTGATTTGGGCTTGAAGAGAAGTAGCCAGCCTAAATGCATTCTAGCTTTACTCTGTTCCATCCAAGGGGACTTCTGTGTTAAGAACAGTTTCATTTTCTTCTGTAGGCTTTCCACACCTTCCAGTGGTCACTTAATATACTATATGTAGTTGAACAGTGATGCAATGTAACATGCTAACCAAAGAAAATGACCAGAACCTCCTTAAACATAACTACTCATAATTCTGCAGTGTTATTTAAGAGAAAGATGATTTATGAAGCATTGCCACGCCCCTTCCCTAGCTGCCTTCAGTTGTGCTCAGCTGTCAGTGACAGAAGAAACCATCAAAACCTGTGGTCTTACAAAAATCTCCATTCTTTTTTCAATCTTCTGTCTAGTCCCATGTACAAAAATTTCCTTTCTCAAGCATGTTACCTGTGAGGTCCAACATATGTAATGTGCAAGGTTGTAATCTGTACATACTGATAAGGTCAGCTGGAGACTCAATCTCTTACTTGATCCAGATATTTAGAAGATAAGGGATTTTCATCCATTGCTACTGCTGTAACGCTTTTCATCCTGAACACATTGCTAAAGGTACTTCGTATTTCTTTCCTGTCACTATGCCTTTCTGTGTTTCTGTCCTGCCCTTTTAATGACTCTATAATCCAAGATGGTTGAAATTAGCTTGATAAGAGGTGCAGAGGAAAGCTGTACTGCTTCTTTTAAATCTTTTTTTCTGATGAGGAAGATGGCTACAATATACCACGAAACACAGAACAAAAAACTGTTTCAACAGGATCCAGCACAGCATAAGGGCTATTTACAAGCTCAGAAGTAAACTAACAACATGGAAATAAGCTTTGACAAAAATTGCAGGTATGGATAACAGCATAAATCCACATGGTATGTAAGAGCCTACAATTATGCTAGCAGAAATACTATCACTCAAGCATCTAAAACCACAGAAAAAGCAAGCCAAACAACTTGCTAATTGTGCTTTGTATGCCAAAACATTATATTTGGTATATACAAACAGGACATACTGTAATGGCAGGGGAAGTAGAAGGCTCTCACTGAAAGCTCATGCAAAGCAGAAATTGTGTCTAGCTATAAAAAGCAATCACAACATTATCTCCAACCTACCGTCTACTGGACTCTTACCTTTTTGACATCCCTGACTAGATGATACAGAGTGTTGGATGGTCCATGTCTCTGCAAAGGACAAATAAAGAAGAATAAAATAGTTCCATACTGTCCAAAGACTGGCAAGATGTAAATGCTAAAAAGGCTTTCTCACCTTAGTTGTTTAGAAATTAAGCTACTGAGATCACTTCAATTATATAGTGTTATCAATCAATCAAAAAAAAAACAAAAAAAAACCAAACCAAAACCACTAAATATCACAAGAGCATTATTTCACCCGATTTCTCTTTTGTACACAGACTTCCAGTGAGGAAACTGAAAGAACTGCCACACTGAAAACTAAGGCCCTATATATCAAATTGATCTCCTAGCTTAGGCAAAGCAGAAGCCCAGCACAACAAGCACAGCCTCTAGGAGATGGCAGAAGGAAAACCAGCTCCTTCAGTGTCAGCCCTCCTGCACTCAGGATCCCCAGTTCCACTGCTGGTGGCTCAGAGAGCCCTGGAGCCTGACATTTCATCTAGGATCTCTTGTCTGAAAGCCACTAACAGCATTGCACAGCCTGTGAATTTGTTGTTTTCTTTTGACTCCACTTGATATGCAAAACTTTCTGCAGCAGACTCCTACAATTTAACTTGCATGTTATATTTCTTTTCTGCTGTGCTTTTGACTTGATGATATTTTTAGACACTTTTATGGGAGGTCTCTTTGGCTGTAACCGGTGATAGATGAGACCACTGCATATGTGCAGAGTCAGTGTTTCCATATATACATTGCTCTGTACTTGCCAAGACTGAGTTTTATGTAATCCGATCATGGACCATGATGAGACTTTTTTGTGATTCTTCATATGCAACTTCAGATTTGCCTACCCTGGATGATGCTAAATCACCTGCAAACACTGACCCTTCAGCAGCTACTATTTTTCAGATCATCTCTAAACAGGCACTGGTCCTGGGACAGGGTCTTGGATGAGCCTGGTCATAATGTCAGTCTGTGGTGAGAACAAACCATGTATTCCTACTGTTTTCTATCCTTCAAGTAGTTTTTAAACCCCAAGTACCCCTTATCTTCTATGTCATGACAGCTATAGTTCTTGAATAACACTTGAGGCTTTCAAATATTGTCAAACCAGTTTTGCAAAAGCAGGCGGGCCAAGTGCAACACACTTATTTTCCTGCATGGTGGCTTCAGAAATGGCAACAGGTTACTAAGGTTTAACATTTTCCCAGAGAAACTCTTCTTTAACATAAAATTGATCCCCTGGTTTAATTAATTCTAATTTTTATTGTATTCTTACAAATTTGCCACGGCAGAAGTCAAATTCACTGGTTTATAGCTTCTAGGTCATTCTCAGAGCTTGTGTTGTAACCTAGTATTTTTTAATTGGCTTTGTAATTCTTTTGGTGCTAAGGCTATTACGGAATCATTAGGTCATATATCAAAATTAGTAGTTTAGGCATTTCACAGCCTCTATCTTTTGAAAATCTTGCATAAATAATTTATGATGCTTTCTTAGGTCACAATAAATTTGTTCAAAAAGCAGTGCAACTGAAAGCTTTCCCCTAACTTATTCCCTGTAAGAACTGGTTTTAGTACAAGCACTACAATGCTTACCTCTGTAGTAAGAAAGCTCATAGGCTTTCTATTCTTAATAGATACATGCTAGTTGATAGGCAAAGTTTAAGCCGATCAAAGATCAGATACAATTCTGTCTCAAGGGTAGAGGGGATACCTATTCCCTTATATTTTGCACAGATTTAATGAGTTCTTTTCATATTTGATATTTTTTGAAAGACTGACTTCTGGTCATCATCATCATCAAAACTGACTTCTGTTATCTCTGGATAACAGTCCAGTGTGACAGCTTATGATGGCAGGGCTTTTGTAAAGCACTGGCAGAAAAAATCTTTCTGACTAGGGCTATGCACTGTATTACAAGCTCTCTCCAACAAACAGAACTAGCAAAACTAAGAACTAGATAATGCTTTCAGAATTTTTCCATACCACTTAGCAATTCCAACTTACTGGTTCCTCTTGGTAGGCAATAATGATGTGGATGCTAGAATGTGTTTTACAGTTGAGAACTCAGAAGCAATTTGAACCTGTGTGGTTTTATGTTCATTTTAAAGGCTAAGATATAAAACTTTCAAACAGGGTTTTAAAAGTCAAAACTATAATTTTTGTAACTTTTGGTAAGGACACAGAGAAGTCCTTCACTGTAACAGACCTCCTGAAATCACTGCATTTCACCTTCAAATTAATAATTTTACCCCAAGAAGTTTGCGCCTATTTGTTTTCCAGTGGCTGAATTTGATTAATAGTTGCAAGATTTTTCTGAAATCATAATAGCTTATACTGTCAGGAGTCATCTATCACCTCCTACAGGTCCTAACTCATCAGTAACTCTTTTCCAGCCAGTGCCACCTGCCTAAATCTCAGGTCTGTCATACTGGAGTTACAATGACCAGAAATCAGCTGGTACTGTGTGGGGCTTCATCCATGTCTTAAAAAATACATATGGCAGATTAGGTAGGCAAGACACAGCATGTTCCATTACACGAGAGACAAAACTAACAGACAATATGGACTTCTAACACTGAATATTCCTGCAACAGATACTGGCTGCTTTGTGCGTCATCTTGTTGTAATATGAGTGGGAGCTACAACAATGAATATAGAGATAGAAAATTTGCCTTAGGTTGGCCCTACCGTATTGTACAATTCCTCTAGCCGGGAGATGGTGAGAAAACGATGCATGCTTACTCCATTTTCTATGAGTAATTTCACAAAATCCACTCTGTCCAACACCAGTGCATCCAGCATTGCTTGCTCAAGGGAGCCCACCTGCAAAGCAAGCGATTAATTCAGGCTGTTCCTGAGCATTGTAGGCTGTATCCAGCTGGTCCTGTCACTCTGGCACAAGAGGAAATCCTGACAAAATTCTGAGGGTTGCTCTTCCTAGCTTAAATTGGGATAATCACAATTTTAGTCTACATTGGTTTCTCTGATTCAGGGCAGCATTTCAAAAATGAGTGTCAGAGTGTAAAGATTTGCATACCCTAGGAAATCCAGAGTAAGACCAAGGACCTAGAACTCGGGAAGTTAGTGACCACACCTTCACACTATTCACCATCTCATTATCATCTTTATTTTTCACTTTCCTTGTCAACATTTTATTTACATGCGGCATATTTGTTATGTGCACACTCACTTTAATTTTAGCTTTTTCCTGTTCATGGTTTGGAAACTCAGGGAAACTGACACCCAGGAAGCAGAAACAACTTCACCATTTCTTTGAAGGGCCAAATGTAAGAGGTCTTTTTATGCAAGTCTCTCATTTTCTATCTCTTGTAGGTTGAGGAAGTCAGAAGGATGAGAAATTATCTCATACTTCCAGCTTTTAGGTTGTGAAATTACTTCAGCTTGCATCATTCATGCAAATTTTTCCTATAATGTGGTGATGGAGCGATAATAAGGACAGTTTAGTAGCATGAAAATCCTTCCTATGTTTTGGTGCATAATTATGCCCAAATATTGAAGATGAGATAAATAGCCCATATATATTTTTTATAAATATTCACTCCATAACTGAAAAGGCAAGATTTTTTTAACTAGCTTCAAGGGGCAGTGAGCTCCAAACGCTACATTTAAAGCAAGGATATTTAAACAGAAGCTTTTCCTTTTGTTATGTTTTCCATGGGGAGTTGTAAATGCTCGTCTAATGATAGCCTATGAAATTTTCATGATGGTGGCAAAATAAATGTTACACTAATGAATACTATGATCCAATTACACCTTCTGAATGAAGCATGGTAGGCTTTAAGGAGCTACAGGTAGAGTCCGGCTTGGATTTTCTTTTGTTTCTGGTTGACAACCACCACTGTAGAAATTGCAGCACAAGTTGGGAGTCGACCTCCTCCTCTGCCCCACACAGCACTCAATACACCTTCTATTTACAGCCCTCCCACTGCTGCAGAGAAGCTCTGCCCATGTGGCCCCCAGGGAACACTGCTGGCCAGGCAGCCTGTTCCCACAGCTGGCAGCTGGAATACAGGATAGGGCAGCCGTGAAACAGGCAGATCAATGCACAGCAGCACTGGGCATGAAATTAACACCAGCTCAGGTTTGGAGCCACAGCACTTCTGCAGTAACATTGCTGATCAGCTCTTGTGGTCCATCTGATGACCTCCAGCATCTGTGCAGCATATTTGGACACCCGATCATCATCAAATTCAGTATTTCTATACAAAAAGCATTGCTTGAAGAGCAAAAAGAAATTTTGGCTTGCCATTAGTTTATAGCCTAACACTGTAACATGGCTGTAAACAGACACTCACTTTTTTCAGTTTCAGAATCATTACTTGATAGCGTAAAAGTGTTGCTTCCTATTTCTTTAAAGGTGTGGTCTCTCAGTGTTAAGGCATCGCTAGATGTCACCATTTCCTTGAACAAGCAAACACATTAATGTCTTTGGAACCGCCTTCCTTCAGGAGCTGTGAATGGGGACTCTGTGTTTGGCTGGGAGCATGACTCAGTATATTCTATACTGTGTTAAACCACCGCTGCCAACAGAATGGATTTAACGCTGAGTAGCGTTTAAAGTGTTTCAGTAGAAGATGCTGTATATATACTGTACCGGCCACTGTTGCCCGTAAATAAAGATCTGACTGCGGGCGATGTCTACTCTGTTCCACGCTAATGCTAGGCTCAGCTGGTCGGGAGCAGACGCGTTAGCTCCTGTGTATACATACAGGGGTGAAGGGAGGAGAGGAGGAGAAAAAAGAAACAAGAAATACTTTAGACTCAGCCAACAGACCACCATGGTAATTCCTCTCACAGATGTCCATGTCATTTCTGCAACTGATAAATATTAAAACAAAGCCTTACATTGTCCCTGAAATAAAATACTGTTTATCAAATCTGAATCCATGCTTCTCAGATGGTCTCATGAATGTGTTTTCCTCACCGCCCTTGTAGGTAGACATGACATCAGCAGATGCAACTTGCAGTGGAGTGAACTGGTTTCTCTCCTCTTTGATGGGAAGCAAGAGCAGAAGCCAGGTGGGATACTGATCCAGCTGCAGAATATGCACAGGCACACGTGCATATGAGCACCCACATACTTCTGCATTTAGCAATTTTGAAGAGGTTCAATTCACACAGACCTACTGATTTCAAGAGCTGTGCATTTTATATGCATTTTATGCATTGCCACCTGGTAAGGTGGGGATCCTGTACAAGCATGGGAATTTCTCCTCTATGACGGGTCTTGATGGGACAGATTTCCCTCCACGCATGCAATAGTCACATAAGAAAGCATGTTATAAAGCTGTTGTCAATGTATAATGTTTTCAAATTAAATAAGAAACTATGCAGATGATAAGGTGCATTTGGAGCTGTTTGTTTTTTGGAAGGCAGGTTATGTTTTTCCCTGAAGTTTTAATGTATGCTGTGAGACATTCCTGCCCTGCTGTGCTTTTGTAATATTTCACTAAGGATTTCATTGTTATTAGCTGATTTGTAATAATAAAACAGTATTTGTGCTTCAGTGTCTTAGGGAGAACTGGCCCAAATGAACTGATCAACCAAATAAATAAACGGCTCTTCGACTTTTGACTACACAGCTGCTTGTGGAGATCAGGCAATTGTACAAAGCCTCATTTTTTAAAGGCCTTATATCTCTACTGTTTTCTTGTCTTCATTAATTTTTGTACTGGTATAATGGAGTGAGGACAAACAAGAGCTTTTCATTGCTTCTGTTCCCATTTCTGTACTATTCAAAACCACACACTGCTCCAGTTGAAAGTGGACTCTGAAATTGGAGGCACAGAAAATGTAAAATGGAACATGCTGGCCACTGAAATGTTCTATGAAGTGTTCTGTGGTCAGCAGACCTTTGGGAAACTTACCCTACAATTTAATTTTGATCTCAAATTTTAATTTTAATCTCAACTTTTCAGCCAGTTCACTGCCATGAAACTTTGCTGAATACTTGGCAGTATCTGCAGCAATTATCTGGGAGATGCTGGATTGCAGATCATCCACTTTCATTTTATGACAGAAATGAGCTCTGATAAAAAGGTAGGTGATGCAGGAGCAGAACGATAGAAATGAAGAAGAGAAAACCAGAGAAAAACAGTAAAAGACTTTTCTATGACTAAGAAGTACGTAGGACTCAGCTTCTCATTACTATATAACAAGACACAGACAAAAGCTCTCACAAGAGACTTCATGGGGGATGGCGACAACATCTGAACTTCTCTGAGTTTCTTACACAAGCAACATGCAACATTCAAGAACAGAAAATATTTACCTTTTAGAAGGGCAAAGATGTCTCTGCAGTTATATTTATAAAACCAGAAGAATACTACCCACAGTGGGTATGATAGTGTAAGTTAAATAGAGAGATCAAATAGTTTTCCCCCTTTCTGAAGCAAACAACAGATCCTCTCAAAATGTCACTGGATCTTCTTTCTACCCATGTGCCTGCAGGAGTGAGACCTTCGGCAGGTGCCCAAGCAAGCTCTCTGGTGAGCAGTGGAGGAAGCACATGCATGAACTCCGAAACCCAGGGACAGTCATGGCGATCCTCCAGCCTGGTACCCTTCTGCAAATGTGATGGGGAAGCTCCATCCCCCACTTTTCCTAAACTGACCACAGCATGCTGTCTGGGTAGCCAAGGGCGCAGCCTGCTTAGAAAGCATTTTGGCTCAAGAGTAGATCAGATGGACCTGGGGAAGCAACTGGGCTACTTACACTGCCCCCACTTCAACCAAAACTCAAGCCAAATAACAGAGAAGGCAGGTGAACACCTTCTTTCCCCAGTCTGTGACAAGAAGCCTGGCCTTCCTGTGCCTTTTCATGCTTAGGAAGGATCTGGCTGCTGGATGACCACAGGATCTTCTGGTGGATCTGATCATGTGAAACAGCAACTGACATGGGGTATGCAGGGGTGCCTGCATCTCCAGAAAAGCCCCCAAGCCCCACAGTTCATCAGAATTGTTTTCTTTGAGCGTGCTTATTGCTCCAAACGCCAAGCAGAGGAAAGAAAGCCATAGGGGGAAGGTTGCTCCCAGACTGAGGCTTGCTGCTGCAAAGGCCTTGCACCTTTCTCCTCTTTCCTGCCTTCCCTCTGTGATTTTCAGGTGAACATGGATTACACTGGCATTACACAAGAGGAAAAGAAAAATAACAAAAGCTACAGAAGTTTGTGCAGAGCAGCATATGGGCAGCGGATGCCATTTAATCAATTTTATTCCAGAATAAACTGATGACTTTTGACTCAAATGAAAAAAAAAAAAGTATTCAGGATACTTCAGATGGAATTCTATCAAGTATTAAGAAGTAAAAATAATTGCATTTATACAAGAAAATCTCCCTAGAACAAATGTGAGGTGGGTGTTCTTAAGATACTGTCTCCTTTCAATCATTTCTTTGATTGCATTTCATGCCAAAGAACATGGATTTGAATCATTAAGAAGAATCCAAATAGTGACCTCTTAGAGGAATCATATCACACAGGAGTGTCTCTGTAATGTATTCAAATCAAAGCCAATGAATATTTGGGAAATAAAAAAATAAGGTAGACTTAATAACCTATAGCAATACTGGGATCACACGGGACCCACATCTTAAACCCTTAACACTGTCAGTAGTGAGGAATTAGCACTTCTGTATATTTCTGTTTCATTTTGTCTCTTGGAAAGATTCTCTGCTTACTTTTGTTATGTATTTTTTTTTCATTACTGTAATATACTTGCTGCTTTAAACAGTGTTTTAGGTGCTCTGACTACCGTCTCTGTAATATTTACTCAGTGTTCGGATGTCTGACTGGGCCTGAGACACGTTCCTCAAAAGAATGTTTTTTGACAATAAGACTAATGTCTGCAGTGGGACTCTTCCTTGCCTTTCTCTGCTTGTAGAATAGTTGAACCTGGAACGCAATGCACTGACTGGCAGTATTTTATTTCAGTGTAGATATTTCTGGATATAGATAGACAATGCAAGGATGGTGCAAAGTTAAATGAACAAGGTGATTTGAATCAGCTGTTAGTTCCTGCAGATGCTAACTTTATGCTCTTAGGCATAAGGAGTGCTTGGATATCTTACATGGTTTCTTTTGGTGAAAAGTCATACAGTCTATCAAAAAATACAACAATCCTTGATGATAAAACCTGGGATCATAAACTTGACCCTGTACCCTAGGTGAGCCAAGGTACATGTCAGACTATTAGTGTTGTGCCCTTGCAGGATCCCAAATTACTGAAGAGATAAGACTACAGGCTTTTGTATACTGGCTAAAGTTTACTGTGATCGAGCTAAACCTCTGAAGGATTCTCTTGGGATAGTCTGTGACAACTAGTGCTCAGAATCTTCAAAGCTGAAATGACACAAAACTGATCTATCTAGACACAGAAAGGTTGTTGGAGATTAATTTCCACAGTGCTTCTATGCATGTTAGTGTCCATTTTGAATAATCAGTTAAATAAAATATTTAATTATAGAAAGTAGCAACCCAAATTAGCTTTCTGTTCTACATCTCAGCAGATCTTGTGTTTCAGCAGCTCTTTGGTGAAAAGGCTGTGTTTCCACTGCATTTGCTACAGGCATTTTCTTGGCATTTAGCAAATCAATTGACAATAACAAAGCAGATATCACCAACAGTTACAAGGGCAGTAACCAGAAATCTGGCCCAACTCTGAAATCCTTCTGTGTCAGCGATTTCATGGCTGGCAGACCATCACAGTGTCTTCTAAGACCATCTGATACTGCATGATAACTGTTCAACGGGCATGAATCATGACTTATTCACAGGCTGGAAAGTATGCAGAGACATCAGATCTGCATTAGCTTGACACAGCTCATCTCAGAGGGTTGCATGTTGTTAATACTACCATATACCACACAGCACCTCTTTCCAGGTGCTGACAATTGCACTGGGAAAGCTTTTAGAGCACCAGCTGAAACATGTCTGGCGCTCCAAACATTGTAAGAGCTTCGTGAACTAGGGGTTTTGATGCCACTCCAAAATAATTATATTTTAGAACATCTCCATATGCTGTCTTTAACTTCCCTGTCATATGCCTTCTGCTCAGCAGCTGCAAAAGGACAAAATCAATTAATTTTTGAGTTACAACTGTTCAAGTTAAGAGAGCACAAACAGTTAAACTGTATCAATAAATTTACTTGCTATAAATTCATGCAATTGGAAACTTCCCACATTTACATGTCTCTTGAACTGTTGTGTTTGTTTTTTGTTTTTTTTAAGGAATTCACAAGCCATATGCTGTTGTGACATCCATTCAATATAAATTGATAACCAGTTTGGATGCCAGTCCCTAGTTTATTGGAAATCACTTCTAAGAAAGATAGATCTGCTGACAAGATTAAACAAATGACTCATGAAAACAAACAGGGAAATAATGTCTCATATTCAGTGCAGGGTTTGGGGTCTGTGAAAGTTCCTGCATTGGCAGTGTGCCTGATGGCTGGTTTAAAGAGAGACTAGCTCATCACAAATTTTACACAGCAAACAGGAAATGATACTTCCTGTTTCCCAGTACTTCTCCTCCTCCTACTTGCTGAGCAAATCACTCACACCAGGGTGGGATTGGTAATTAGCTGGTATATGCCTTGAATACCAGCTAGCAAGAACTGCAAAATCCTCATCAATAAGACTGAGAAAAAATGACCAATAATCACTCACACAGTTCCATACTTTTCTCTGCCTTCTTTTCACACAATACTGAAAAGGTGAAAGAGATTAATTTCTGAATCTAAATTTATGAATCTCAAGGTTATTCAGACCCAGTCTTCAGATCTGGTTACTAGTAAATCAATAGAGAAGTGGCTCAGCATTGCCACCTTAGATTTCTTGATTTGATGAAAACCCAACTATTCATCATCCTCGTGAGGTATACTTATGAAAAGTCAGCATTTCTTTCAGAGTGGGGTAGAAACTCTCTGCAAAGACATGGTATGAATGAGAACAAACGACTTGCCTGACTTTGCACACATTGATTAAAAAATTATATAGACTTTCATTCCCTCTGATCACAAAGCTCAGATTAACAAGAGGCACCAGATAAATTTAATCTTCACTGAGTACCTTTATAATCAGAAAGTGCTGAAGAGCAGTGAAGATAAGGTGTAAGTTGTAGTTCCTCTGGCTCTTGAGCAAGACACAAGCACTGCTGCTCATCAGCAGACTACCAAGATTGACTGGCAATCATGAAAGGACATGTGAAAATTACTTACACAGATCAAGGCACTTTCTGAGCTAACAGAACTTTGCCACTATGTCTTCCACTACTATTATGAGAGGGAAGGTAATTTTATTTTACCAAGATGAGAGGACGAGTTAGGCACTTGCAAAATGTGTATTTCAGATCAGAGGGGATTACTCATATACACAGACTGCACCCATGCTACAGTTCCTCAAGTAAATACTGCAAAAGAACTTATCAAATAGAAAGCAATCCTTCCTAGGCCTATGGTCTAATTTTTTCACCTTCTAAGAGGCAGCTTTCAAGGTGGTAAAAGTCTTCAGGGATCCATACTGGGATTCAAACTTTGGAAATATACCTAGACAAAGTAGAATCACAACCTTAAGACAATCTGTATCTCACTAATATAAATCAATAGCAATAGTTTCAGTGATTGTCTTAAGAACAAATATGAAGGAAACAGACTTTACAGTGAGAATAATAAAGGATCTAGTTATACTTAAGATAAATTAAATTAAAGTTTCACTTAAAATGTTTCCTAAGGATAGAAAAGAGGAATTTGGTGATGGATGCAATTCTCATTCCTTGTTTTAAATAAATTTCTTGTTCCTTACTTCATGTTGATTTATATTGTTTCTGTGTGAGGATGTCTAAAATGTCTTGTGATTTCATTATGCAGATGGCCAAAACTTGTTACCTCAGGATAGTAGCAAAATAGACATGTTACCTGCAGCTCAAACAACTCTTATCTTAATGGAAATGAGCAGAAGTAGTGGAGAAACCAAAACTACAGAAGACTAAGAAGACAAAACCTACTAGAGCAGAATAATTCCAGTTCATTTCCTTAGCTGGTAGCTAGCAGCTTGCAATCATACTTTTGAGGTGGCCAGTGCTTGTTTACTCCTCCTGTTCAGGTTATTGTCTTAAATGTTTGAAGTAACATTTGAAATGGGATTTGTAATTGTGTAAAATGTAAAACACTATTTTGCTTGGTTAGCTGAAGTTATTGATGCCTTCTGTCTTTTCTCTTCATACAGGTTTTGTATGCCTGCACAGGAAGAAACTGAGAATAAAACTGAGCCCTGGAACAAGCAAGAATAATTCTCATTACCTTTTGAATACCTAGTAAATCTATTAATTTTTTTGTTATGATTCAAATTCAGGTCTGCCATATGGCATCACGGATTCTCTTATTCAGGGCAGTATAGCCTGTACTACATAGCACAAACCAGTCCAGACAGCAACAAGATGAACATGGTTGTTACATGCAATTTGTGAAAACCCATTTTGGGAAGCATATTAAAGGAGGCACAGAACCTCCTAGCCACTGCCTAGGTAAGTAATCATCCATCAGGTAAGTACATATGCTTCAGAGCCTTTCAAATCACACCTGTTTCTGTATTCAGAAGCAGATATTAAATTATCCAACAGTATCTTATTTTGAAGAAAGCCAAGATAAATGGTGTGTCTGCAAGACGGGGGTTTATACTGACCTGTAGCAATAGCAGATTCAGTGCCAGACAATCTTTTAAATTGTAATGTAGTGGCTTAGAAAGATTTAGAGACCTTAAGATTAAAAGCACTACTACCCCAGCAGCTAAATTCTTAGCTTTACCAGCTAAGCAGAGGGTGGAAGAAATCCCATGAAGTTCCTAGATTTCCCTAGGATGACTACAGGAATCATTTCACTTTGAAAATAGTGCCAGTTTTATCTAGAGGGAGATAACCTCCTTCTGGATGTTCTACAAGCCACCAAGGTAGTCAAAGTGTGAGAAGTTCTTTGGCTGTCTTCTTGTGAGTATCTTTTCAGGTAATCAGTGGGGTTCAACATTGATGTTTCTTGTGATGCATTAGTGGTTGTGGGTGGAGAATAAAAATTCAGGAAGGAAAAATGATAGCTATTTAAACATTAAAAAAACACTGGATTTGTATAAAGCAGTTAGAGCAAAAAGCATGCTTGAATTTCACACTATAAATTCATACGTATTGTCAAAAAAACACAGTTTTCAGCACAGCACAGATAATAGAGTTAGTCCATTTGGGTTCATACAGACTCACTGTGGAATGAAACTCCATTACCTTTCAGTAATGCTGTCAGGATAGCTAAATCAATATCCTGGTGTCCTTCTGATCCCATGCGAAATACTGTGATCTGAAATGTTAAAAGACAATACCATCATTTAAACCAGGGTACTTTTTAAAAAAAGAAATTAAGTTAGGGCAGCAGCATTTGGATCTCAAAATGTCCTGATGGCTACAAGATGATCTTACTTTATACATTTTATGAGAATTTTATTAAATAGGATTAATACACCGTATTTTTTATGAGAGAAAATTTGTAGAAATTTTATTACTGAACATATGGAAGAAAAGTGTTCAGTGATACAGGGTGAAATTAGAGATGAAGGAATGTTCCTGTGTTAGATTAACATTAGATCTAGTATTCACAATGCATTACTAGAAGGAATTAGGTATATAATTGGTGCTGGACCTAATTTATGGCATGTGGCATTGAATAAATATTTTTGACTGAAATTAGCAACCTATTCCAACTCATGATTTTATATAGCAGAAAGTCAGATTAAATAACCTAATAATTAAGCTTCTAACACATGCAGAAACGTGTAGTGAGTGACCCATCACTCTAAGATATACACATTGAAGAAGTGAGATGAGATACACAATTCATAAAGAATAAGAATTAACACAGGGAGGCTGTTATTTCAAGCCAGTTTCACTCTTGGCTAAGACTGCACTAAGACATACAGAAGTGTAAATCCCCATGCTCCTTTGGTTGCCATGGCAGTAGCTGCTCCTGGGCCTCTGCTTCCTGTGAAGCTTTTAATCAGTGCCTTTCCTTTACTCATGAAACATTTTGATCTGAGTACCTATTATATTTTTTTCTTTTTCCTTTTACCAGTATGGACTGCTTCAATACTTTTTTTTTTTTTTTGTGTGTGTGTGTGGTTTGTTTTGTTTTTTTTCATTATCTTTGATTGGAAACTCTGCAGACATATTTTGAACTCATATTCAGCAGCATTTGTTGCCCCCACACTCCTAGATTCCTGTGCATACAGAATCACTGGATTGTAGCAGCATCTGATGTCTGGAAACATCAGAACACAAAGAACTGTGTACTGTAATAGGGAAAGGAAGTACATAAAGTGGTCAAGGCTAAGACGATACTTTGGTGACAAGCTTAAGTTTGCTTGCTGAAATAGCTCTGCAGACTGTATTCCAAGAAATTCATTGTAGCCCTCCTGTAGCACCTATTCTACCTTTGCTTGACTCTAGAGCTCTAGGAGATTCAGAGGTTGGTTAAGAGGTTTTGGCATCAGTGACAGTAGTACAGGATGTTAGACAGTGAAAAGGCAAACTGGATGAAGTAATAAGAAACTGGCTTAGCTCAGTTTGTAAGTTGATTTGGATGATGACTAAATTAATGTGAGAAAACGTTCATGTTAGATGTCCTCCCCAGCTGACGTAGACTGTTTTCCAATTTCGCCCTTCAAAGTGTTCCCGAGCATAAATACTGAAAATTATACTTTAACGCTGTATTTTCTCTCTCCCCCTTGACTCTACAGATCTTTTTGGCAAATCACTTGATGTCTATCCCCATACCACAACTTGAATAGAATATAATAGTTTCAGGTGGAAGAGACCTACAACAATCATCTAGTCCAACTGTCTGACCACTTCAGGGCTGACCAAAAGCTAAAGCATGTTAAGGGTGTTGTCCAAATGCCTCTTAATATGCCAAATGCCACTGACAGGGTTGGGGCATCAACTGCCTCTCCAGGAAGCTTGTTCCAGTGTTTGACCACCTTTTCCTCAGGATGAGAAGTGATTCCTGATGTTTTTTTATCTCCTCAACAACTGGCAAGGAAGCTTTCCCTGCAGTACAGGCTGTCTGCTTGTCTGACCTGTAGAGCACAGGTCATGTGGGTAGAAATACACATTTCTATATACATCTCAACCCAAAACACAATAAAATGTGAGCTGATGAGGTCAGCCTCTCCACTGTACGTGTTCATGATGTGCTTCCCATGCCACACATGACAAACTGTTCCACAGAGTTTAGCAGCCAGCCAGGCAGGTTAAAAGACCGAAGGAAGAGAAAAACCTACCCAACCCAGTAGGAAAAACGAACATCTCCCTTCTCATGGGCAGCTCCGGGAGGTGCTGGCAAGAAGTGGGTGAATACATCATTGTCACAAAAGAGTCTGTTTGTAACATCCTTACAATGGTTTGCAATTTCCTACATGATTTTTGCAGCAACAGGCATCTCTGTAGCACTGAAGAGAAGTGTGACAGCCTGGCAACTGGATCAGCTGATGCTGGGAATGTCTAGTTTGCGTCACTGCACTTGGTGGCTCCACCACACAGCAAAACACCCTTCTCCTGTGAAGAAGGTGAAGCCAAAGGTGAAGCAGTCCGCACATCAGGGACTAAAAATACTGAACAACAGGAGTTCAGTGGAAGAACAAAGTACCTCTCAAAATAAACACATGCTCAGTGAACCCCAGCTTAATTAAAGGGCCTCTTATAAATTGCAAGCACGGAACAGCTTATCACCACAGGAAAACTAAGTGAAGCACTTTGCATGTATCAGACCACATATAATCCTAAATTCCCAACTTCTCTTTCATCCCTCCTCCCTGCATGCCTCAGAAAACCCCACTTCAGCAGAACAAATTGCTGCTCTATTAAAAATAAAACAGAACTATGTAACCTAGTTACATTAGAATAAAAAGGATGCCTTTCCACAGTAACTGTTACTTTATTATTAAGAGGCCTAGTGAATTCAATTAATAAAATAAAGAAGATGAGTAACTTGGAAAAAAAGATGGAAGTAGAAGAATGCTCAGACTCATACCAGAACTACTACCATTTGCGGCATCATGCTCAAGACTGAAGTAGAATTTTGGACAGAGACAATGAAAAATATCACTTCATTCCAAAGTGCTGAGAGTTCAGTAGCTCAAAGACTCAGCTGATACTGTGGACTTTTGCCTGTTTTGAGCACACAAAATCTTCTAAGGTGTTAAACAGGTATGTTCAACCTCTCCTTATGGTTTAGGTTAACTGTAACTATCCATAGCTACTTTCTCTCTGTGACGGGTGCACTCCTGTTTGAATTAACGGACCTTTGATCCAGGCAGATGCTCAGCAAGTAGGCTTAATCAAAGTTAATGTTATTGTGTGAGGCTATCAGCTAGAATTCAGCACAAGCCCCCCCCCAAAAACGTTTGGCTGGAGACTGGGCTTATAAGCAGCCAAAACTGCATGAACACAGCAGAAAATATGACTACAAATGAGCACTTCTCACAGCTAGTTATCCTTTGAACATCCTTTGCCTCCCAACCTGATGAAACAGCTTTTTATCAATCTGGATCTCACAGGCAGGTCTTTGCCCTGCCATGGTTTACCATGGTGTTGGGATGATGAATTGTTTCTTCTTTCCATTACTGCCCTAAAGCTTGACCCATGTTTTTGTTCATTCACAAAGTGGAAGACTTGAAATAGGACTCCACTGTAATTAGGCAAAGAGCCAACATTGTCACATTGCCAATATAATCTTGTCGTGGTTTAACCCACAGCCAGACAGCTTGTTACCCACTCCCCCCCTTCTTGCCCTCCCCCTACTCCTGGGGGAACGGAGAGGAGAATCAAAAAGAAATGCAACTCCCACGGGTTGAGATAAGAACAGTTTAGTAACTAAGGTACAATACGAATCACCACTGCTACCACCAACGACAACAATGATAAGAGAAAACAGCAAAGGAAAGGAGTACAATACCACGCGCCGAACCACCAGTCCGACCCCGGCCGCCCCCTCCCCTTCCGGGTCCCTCCCAGTTCCCCCCTCGGCATGACGTGCTGTGGTATGGAATACCTCTTTGGTCAGTTTGGGTCAGGTGTCCTGTCTCTGCTTCCTCCCGGCCTCCCCTCCTCCCTGGCAGAGCATGAGACTCACAAAGTCCTTGGCCAAACCAAAACATCACCTCTATCAGCTTTGTTCCCAGCCCGAAAGTCAAAACACAGCACTGCACCAGCTACCAAGAAGGAGAAAGAATGACTGCTGCTGCTAAACCCAGGACAAATCTTTATCTCGATAAAATCTTAATCCTGATCTACAGCATTCTTCACATATATCTTGTTCACCTTGTACCTCTGCAAGATGTGTTGGTTGCTTTAACTACTAGATGTCAGAGATATTTTAGTATAGGGACATTTGCTTTTAAACAGCTAAATGAAGATACCTCAGCATGCATGGCTCTGCAGAATGAATTTTGGGAGATGAGGCTTAAAGCTGCAGCATGCCAGCTACTGAGGCATTTGCCTCATCATCACTTGTACTTTACCTGGCGAAGCCAGATCATTACCAAACCATGTAGTTGCAGCTTATAGTTCTTTTTCACTAACTATTCATGACCCAGGAACAAGGCAGCAGGAATTAAGGAATATCACTGCTGTGTTTTGAGTTCCAGACCAACAGCCTGTGAGGAGCCCCATGTAAGTCCAGCAGACCTGTATTTCTTATCCAATGAAGCTTTACGTTAGGCTGCTTTCATGTCTGAATGATTCATTAATGATTCAAGGCTGTATGTGCCCCTTGCCTTTTTTCACAACTTCTACTGGAAATGCATCCCCAAATGCTGCCCCTTTGTTTTTTTTTTTTTTTTTCTGACAGATTCAAACATGGATAAAAGGAGAAAATAACCAAGCTTTGTACAACACCAACAGAAAACCATCCAATTTGCACCTGGATGAGATCCTAGTGCCCTGTGTGAAAGGCTCTCTTGACCTGTCCAGAATGAAAGCATGGATTTTGTTTCTGCATTTTATGAGTACAGTTATGATGAGACAGCAACTGTTCCTAAAACATGAATTTACTTTTCTGCTTACACAGCCCCTGTAGTTTTTCTAACATCCTTTACGTTTGTAGTCAGAGGCATGAGGAAATAGGGACACATCCTGAAGTATTTATGCAGACTCTACACTTAGAAATGTTCAATACTGTTCGGTCCCAAAAATGTGTCTGTCTATCTTGCTGGAGACCTGTTCTTCTGGTGATTTCTCCCAATTAACAGGTAAGAATTTTATGTTTGCAATAGTTTCAAGAGTCTTAAATATATTTGATATCTTGCT